CTAAACTTTAAATTGCATCTGCTGATCATAATCAAACACCTTAACGACAATCACGACGCTTCAAGAAGCCTGATTGCTCCTCGTTCCTATTAGTATTGTGGTTCCTTCCAAATCACCACGTTCGAGAATGTTCTATCTTCGCCTACTTGATAATGTAGATGGCGGTTTTGCAAACAGCTAACATGGGGACCGAAATTCAGAGTTTCTCTATTCGAACAAAATTCGTCTGAAGTTACACTAAACAAAATATCGAATGGAAGCGAAATATGGCCGTTTACGATGCCCTGTGCGCTGATAATAATCGACATTTAGACGTACCAACTAAGCAGACGCCTGCCACACACCAGTACATAACTCCAAGCGCTTTCTCGATCTTCTGACTTGCTGCTACAACTGAGAAGATGATTGCCGATGGCACCTGCAAAGTGGAAGGTTTGATTAATTTTTTTGCAGGACATTCAGAAGTATTAGTTTTTCACCATTGAACTATTGATTTGGAAACAAAATGCTTCGCAATGCAGACTTGTGCTTCATGTAATTATCTTCATTACTAACAAATTATCAGTAGCATTAAAATATACTCTGATAAAATAAATCCAGGTTCTTGAAAACCATTAATGTCCAAACACAAATCCCCGTGTACCGCGATAGCAATACAGACTACAAATGAATAACTGGTATGGCTTTTGTAGTCCTTAAAATTACTCAGGATGGGGCGTACAAATGCACCTTATACTTCCATATTATTTTGTTGCTCATAAACTATTCAGTTCCTACTCATAGATGTTCGTATGTGAAGTTGGGACAACAAAGGCATTAAATGAGCATCAATCAATTAAAGTGGGCAATTTCGCTTTGCTTATCTATCAGGGGAGAGGGAATCTGATTGGTTAACGTGATTAACACTGAATTTTCATTGATCCCCATTCATAAGTCTGCACACACTATCACAATGTGTGTTAATGGCCAATAGGATAGCAGAAAAGCTACTCATTCATTGGTAAAGGAGAACCAATAAATTTGTGGCGAGTGTTTAAAAAGTAGGTCATTTAAGAACCATGTTTGTCTTCCATGTATTGACATCAATAGGAATAACATTTTTGCCGGAGTTTTCTAATTCAAAATTTTGAACATTTTTCAATTGTTTGAGGATGCCTTCGCAAGCGGGTAATTGCGCGGAGTAATCAATGTGGTGGGGAAGAGAAAGAACTTCCTCAAACGAGAAGAAAATAGCCAAGATTCTCCTACCTAACCAAAGGAAATTCTTTTGAATGCCGCAGACCAATTATTATTCTTCCTCTCTTCCTGTTTACGTTACCATAGCATTTTTTTGTTTTCGACGTGGGGTTTTAAATGAATATATTACCTAAAAATCAAAAGAATCCGCTACTTTTCCAACTAGCGTTGCAACTCTTTGCTTTTTTTTTAAATTTACTGCCATTAAACCATTTAGTTCTGAAACACTGTCGTGGGAGGAAAGCCTCTTATAGTGTTGGAAAGGAAAATTGCCACCGTGCGTTTGTTTTAACGGGCTACCCGGACACTAAACAAAGCATCCTCCCGTGACCTTGGATTTCAAACGTGCTGGGGGATTCTACGGTTGAATTTGTCAAGGAATTGCAGCAACTACAGTCATCAAAAAACTCCACTTGCTACGTGACAGCTTTCACTGACTTGATCAGTGTTCCTGTGTGTACAAGAAGGTCAGAATAATTTATGGGGTATTTGGTAAATTGCAGTGGTAAATTTCAATGTCTTCGGTCGTGCATCTTAGCTCGGATTTATTACGGACTAACTACGCACCTCCATCGGTGCGCAATACGTGAAAGTTGAAAATGGCTCTATTGAAAAAATTGGGTAATTAATCGGCAATATGCAGGCAACAGATCGGCTCAGCATCAAAAGTTAGGTGAGTGTTGGTGAAGTGTCCGGTTGTGTGGTGAGCAGCAATCAAGCCCAGTTAGCATTCGTGAGCGAACACAAATCAATCGATTTTATTTCGTGGATGCACTTTAGTGGCCAGACAGCCACCCCGCGTGAGTGATGCGTGTTTGTTTGCCCGGCGGTATCGATGACTCACCCCCTTTGTTATTGGCTCGTGTTAGCAGTTGCCTGTTACGCACACGTACACAATAGTTACTCGATTTTACGTGACTTTACTTGACTGGCGTGACGTGAATAAACGGTCATGTTCTCTGTCGACTCTTTGTCTTCTCTCTTCTAGCGTTGTGACTGGCTATTATCTGTAGGGTTTTGTGGTAGTGATAATTTCGGCTGCTACATATACTCCAAAATCATTTCCGCTCTCAAAACGCACATCTATTATAGGCATTGTTGCTTGAAGAACTAACTTAATCAAAAGACTGACCACAGCCGCGCCAATTGTACCCGATTTTACGAGTTGAGTGGTTATAATTGCACTGAATCATTTCAGGAAAAATCCTTCGAAGAACTTACGGAGGTGAAAGAAAGTGTCAGGTTGTTGCCGAAGCTTGTCATTGGCGAAATTATTTTATTGCTGGCTAAACCAATTACCACAGAGACGGCTGCCATCGTGAAGTGAAGTCCAAAAACGCACAGGGCGTAGAAGATAATGGAGAGGACTTTAATTTTCTCAGTTAATGGAAACAAACCAAGAAACGTTGCCATGACGAGCAGGAAAGCCACAAGAGTAATCTAGGTAAGAATAAAAGAGAATGTCTAAAGTGTATATCACATGCTTGGGGAAGAACGTTTGGTTTAAGCCTAACAGGAAACTTTGTCGCCTGTTCAATGCATTACAATGTTACGCAAGCATTCAGAGATTGGTGGATGTTGAATTGAACTGCTTTCACTAGGATGAACTGAATTTCAATAAATGGGAAAGGATTTATAAATTTACCATGGCTTACCCATCAGTTAGCACCATGTTTAATTATTTCCTCGGATCATTCTAGCTTGCTCTTCCTGTTCCAGATATTCATCTCCCGTGAACCGCCTCACCATGCCCCTGAGCTACTAAACGCCGCCATATCTACTCACAATCTGTTTACACCCCTAATCTAATTAATTTTGATTTCAGCAGAGCCGGAAACTTTGTCTATGACCGAAAAGCCCAATTCGAGGTAGCCTATTCTATGTATTACAATGTTGCATTAACATTAGTTTGTGGAGTTCCGCTGGACCGTGATAACTTCACATCAGAAGTTGATTGGTGGTGCAAATGGACTGTTTTTGATGGGAAAAACTGAGGGGAAAGCAAAAAAGAATGAGTATTTAAAATCAACCTAGTTCTTTTTATTCATCTTCTGATGCGTCTCTGTGAACCGTCTCAACATGCTCCCGGGTAACTAAACGCCCATGATGTCGATTAACAATCTGCTGTACAGGCCTTAGCTGTTCACTCTCGTAACTCGTCAATACGTATGACGATACCAAGATTCAGAGGACCAATCAACGACTGGACCTCCCTTGACCTTGGCCATTGATAGAGCCGTAGCTCAGATCGGATCGTGCCTTACCGACATCAATCATTTCTAATCAATCAAAGTTGTCACACAATTCGACTTCAAGACGGCGCCAATTCGAAATTCCATTTCATGAAGTTTAAAAAGTCACTATTGGCTAGAAGGACAGTCGATGATGGTGTAGCAGCTAACAGGGCCATAACTGTGTCCGCGGCGTGGTTTTTGAACTTGCTGTATTATTGCGCCCAGTCAAAAGACTTTGATTCAGAATGATGATAACATTACTCAAAACAAGAATGCATCTTTTTTTAAAAAAACCCACTTTCTATGGAATTTTTAAACTAAGAGAAACGTAGCTTTTTAGGTAAATGGGCTGGAACGCCACGCTCCGTAGAATACTGACAACAATCGGGCAGTCACTGACGAAACTAAGCATTTTCGATCACCGATAAGCATCCAACACTATAGCCAAGTCAAAATGTGCATTTCCACAAGACTCTCGTCTTGATCACCTTGAGAATGCTTCCAGAACCATTGGTAAGAGTTCAACACGACTCCTGCGTCATACCATTTTACTTCAAGTAGAGGCCAATTGATGGATTTCTATTGGCTGTTTAGGGTAACAAAGGTCAAATACGGAATTCCAAATACACGAAGCGGACCTCTTCGACGTAACGGCTAATCTAGGCAGTAGAGGCACTGGATTCACCAGCAACTACTTATCCGGCACACCAGTTACGTTCTAGCCGGACATTTTTGGAAAAAAATAACCGAGGCTGCGCATTTAACTTCCAATTTGCACACCAAAAGTTGTCGTAATCATTGTATCAACATTCGGATTCCCAGACTCCCTGGAATCATGTTTTGCATTCTCCAACTCCATCGAAATCAACTTATGTTCAAATGATAGAAAACAATCGCTAGACACTGCAAGCAGGAACGATTTCCCTGCTGTTAGACTAATGAGGTTTAAACTGTTTGTTCGGATGCTTACCTTGAAAGACGCTCTTGAGCAAACTACCCGACCAATTATGTAGCCGACACAATTAAAAATTCCGTTCAGTGTTGCCACGAGAACGAGGAATTCGTCTTCGAAACCCACGCTTTTTCCAAACACCTACAAAGCACAAGTATCCAATCAAATGGTCGACACAAGATTGTCGCATATCTGTGAAAAATTATCGACTCTAAAGACGCTGGATGCGCCTTATTGATTATCGATTACTAGGTGAGTGTAAAGTACGACTTGGTTTTTTTGCAAAATACTACTTCCTACAGCATCAGCGGTGAATTTCTGGTTAACAATGCTAACCGAGTTGTGTCTCGGCTACATGATTTGGGTTAAGATTAAATCGACGAAGCAGACTAGAGCACAAAGCGTACGACAGACTTGCCTTAAATGTTGTGACGATTGTCATTGTGGGGATAACATTTAAAAAGTTGATCAAACCCATAATGTGCACATCTGGCGTCTTGAGGACTTCTCTTGCATGCTGCAACATCTTCCGGAGACTAAAATGAACCAAGTTTGGCAATTTATTTTGACAATTTGTAATGTTGCCAGCCCAATTTTATCTCTGTGATGGTGAATAAGGCAATGAAATTTACAAAAGGAAATAAAGGGCAGGTAATTAATGTATAGTCTTGTGTCCAGTAACGGCTATTTAGACAATCAAAATGTGGATACGCCTTACAGAAGTTAATTTGACTGACTTGATCTTGTTAGAAATTAATTGTTCTGTGGCACTGTTTTGGACAGGCAATCAAGTTCTACAATCAGATAACGGAAGTGGGGCACGTCGTAGATGTGGACGATAATTAGAAAGGGAAATGATAGTCAGAGTAACTAACCTCTTTGGCTTGTGTCAGGATATTCCAAGATATGGAAAACCAAATTCTACTTGAAACCGACTCGTTTTTGAGCTATTTTTGCTTGTAGCAAGTGAGCTTAATCTGAACTAGGCTTATCACAAAGATCAACCTCTTAAACAATATTACATTACCCATTTTAGACCAAATCGGCCGCAATATTTGTCTTCCCATCTCTACGGATTATTCCCCTGTTAATCTGTTCAACAGTTTACTGTCTTGTCCAACCACCAACCAAGACTGCAGACTTTGTCCTTCATAGGACTTTTGCATGCATTAAAAAACGCTGTTGGGAGCACGAACACCTATTCTACTTGTGTTTTATTCGACATTTCCGTCATTTACATGTTATTCAATAACAAATTCACCATTTGGACTAAGTATTGCGTTGCATTTTTACTTTAACGTGGCTTGAATGTGTCAGAGGGCTTGTGGTTTTCAGGAACTCATAAACTGTACCAAGAGAGGGCAATAAAAATCCGACGGAAAGGGTCATTTGGAGTATAACCGCGGCCAGGCGTCACCATTGTGTAGCTTGTGCCGAACATAAAACCTGTTCGCTCTTTGGTGCACACAGCCTCCCCACTGCGTGATCCAAAGCCCAACTTGTGACAACGCAGACGCTAGAGTAATTGTCGCATAACTTTTATTACCACACACGTAGTTCTTATTTGTTTATGGAGTCCCGTGACCACCATAACACTTCACATAATGTACCAATCGCAGCACGCTTTGATCAGACGGTTATACAACAGTGGTGGGATCTGCACATTAAAACATCGTGTACTCTTGAACCCTTGTGATTAAGAATCTTTTTTACACGTTTTACTTTCCAAGAAAATCATTATAATAATAGAACTCACCCGATCTTTGGCACAGTTGTTTGGTTTACCTAACAGGCAAAGGAACGTGTGTAAGCATATGCACAAATCTTACTTTATTAAGAATTAAATCAATGGGGTTTCCAATTGTTGAGGTAAGGTAGGCGTCATTCATTGTGAATAACGACATGGTCAATGCAGTCCTCTTTTGTGCTCAGCAAATGTACCGATTTAACAAGCGACATCACCATCATCATCATCATGGGCGTTGGGATGCGACTTTGTATCGGTATGAAGTCAAGGAGATGAAAGTTGAGAATAACATTCCGAACTGGTAATTCCTACCAAGTCCTCCGTATTCGTCCAACTTGGCTTCATAAGATTCTCATCTTAGCTGATCACAACCAAAAACATCTGCCAATGGTTTCGTTTAACACTGACAGAATTATGAGCATATTTCGACGGAGTTGTTTACATTAAAATTTTTAAGTATCTTCACTTCAGAGGCATAGAAACACCTGTTACCTCTTTGGAAGACGAAGTAAATTAACCACTGAGCAATTTACATCTTGTCATCAATTAAATTCAAGTTGTGTTGTTTGTAACCGCAATAATTTATTCCTCAACCCAATGGTCAAAGTAATTAAGAAGGAGTCGATGTCATTTAAAATTCCTTTGTTAGAAAGGAGGAACGATCGTTGCCTAGTAACTGCGTGATTTCTGGCCAAATACAGTGATCGGAAGGTGGGGATCCATTTAATAAATACACACACAAAAAGCATTGCTTGGGTGATTGGTTTAGTGCGCTTGCTCCAAGATCCACGGTATAATTTCCTTTATATCGCAGCAAGCGCAAATTTTCCATCCTTCAAAGCATAGTTGACAGTGGGATATCCGCAATCACCAAAGATTTCGTGGAAGATAACAAATTCCTTACGCCATTAGAGATGTGTATGAAAAGGAATTTGCAGTTTTGACACAAATTTCACAGCTCCCGGCATTGTTAGTTACCTTCTATCACCGTGTAAATCTCTCATTTCAAAGAAGAATAAAGAACCACGACTGGCCATCCTGCTCAGGACCACCCACGACTATCCAAGGTTGTTTATTCTGCTCATGAAAAACCTGTTTCCACAACATTAGAACAGTTGGCATGATTAATTAGACGGGGGACTGGGAGTATTGCCACAATGGTACTGTTGCCACAGCAACACTCCATTGACGACACCAGATCCGTGCCCACTATTCCAAACAGCCTATGGGTAAATCTTGTTTAAGTCGATGTTATTCATTACGTTTTTGTCGTTAACTAGTTCGCCACAAGCTGAGCTTATTCCACCATGCTCTTCGTCTTTACCAAACCACGAACAGTGTGGCATCAGCTGACGATTCACAACCAGCGGTTCCTTAAAGTTGGTATGTTTGATTGTTTGCGAAATACTTTGTAGGAACAAACACGGCAGTTAAATGCTACACGGTTTTGGTTTTAAGTTAAACAGAACAAGGCGGGCACCAATCTTACCCCTGAGAGGCAAATCGAGAAACACGTGAACGCAAATGCAATTATCTGTAGTGCGGTAATTGAGGAGCCTGTTATTATGAAGACGTTGGAGAAGGCTTCATTGGATCTAGAGGAGGAAGGAGCAGAACAAAGCGATTCATAACACCCACAAGGTTTCTCAATTCAACTACTTAAATCGTTAACTTTCAATTTCCGGTGTTTGCTGACTCCTCGGGGTCCAATTTATTCACAATTTCTGCGCACTTTTGTTTCGAACAATTAAAAAAATCTACTCTTCTCCACTGCCTGTCGGATTACGACGAAAGTAGACAGATTTGGTGAATTGTCCTTTTCCACGAACAAGTTTGCGCACTTTTGTTTCCATTGTTCTTCGTGGCGGTTGTCAATTTTATCAATGATTCATGTCGAAACATCTCTAGTTGTGTGTGCGTGTGTGCTGGAGGCGATTTGCCACATCTTCTCAGTTTTTTTCCACAAATCACCTAATGAATGTTTTTATGGAAATTTCAAATTACTAAACGCAAGGATTCAAGGTATACACGATCAGCAGCCAGTACATCAAATCCGATTAGTCTTCGTCATATTTCTTGAAAACTATCTTTATTGTGAAAACTTCAAATCAGTAGAGACAGCATACTGGAGTTTTGATTTTAAAACGACATAATTTGCATAAGTTATGCAAAATGCACGATGTTATTAACAGTTGTAGTGCTTGCTACGACTGGTCAATGTAGGTTAAAATAGCCAGTAATATCAGAGTAGGTTGTTACAAATTTCCACACATTTGCAGGTCACTGTTTGGGAGTTCTTCTCTCTTACCATAGCAACCGGTGTTGCTGAAGTATAACACAGTAGTATGCAAAACGTTTACACATAGTCTATGTGAGGAACTAAAGATTTTAAATCTTATGGGCGTTAACTGACAATGATCCACGTTACCAGACTACGAGGCAGTTCAGACGATTGGACAAATTCCGTATTTCCCGGTAATACTGCAAGCGGATCATCATTCTTTCGAGCCAAGCACATACTATGATGGCAATTACCTGAATAATTGACAAGCTACCAGTCATTGAAAACTATGCTGCACTCTACGCAACTGAAAAATGTTTAAAATACCTCATAGAATTTAGCTCTTCGACATTTTTTTAAAATTAAATTAATTTGAATTCGGCTTAGGTCTGTCTGCCCTCTGTCTGCCAACTGCAAGCGATGATCAGATATTTGGGCGCGATTTTATGGCAAGGGGGCATGATGTTTGTAAGTCTGCTTCAAAGTCATTTCCTGGTGGACTTTGCAATCCACAAATTAGATTGGAAATTCAATGAAACAAATTTTTTCCTCTCCTACACAGAGGACGGACAAAGAGGGTTTCATTTAAGTGACCGGAACGCAGTATGTATCTTGTGCATGAAAGGAAAAATATTTAGTATTCTAAATTTCAAAAATGATCTTTTTTTCTAGTTAGCCAACAAGACATCTTATTTCTATCAAGATTAAACTCTTAAGGATGCATCGAAACGAATAATCCACTGCATTTCTTATAAAAAAGGGTTTACTGAAACAATATAAAATCATGAAAATAATGCAATGTTGTTTAAAAAGATTCCCCAATGCTGAATTAGAGTCAATTAGTAATTTTACAAAATCAGGATGAAATGGTAAACTGGTTTTGTTTAAATCTGCCATCGATGCTATCACCGGGTAATTGTTGTTGCCTTTTAGCACTTTTTAAATCTTTTTTATATATAAGCAGACTCGAGGAAACTTGTGCAGCTTGTAAATTGTCCGACTAGGTGTTCTGATACGAAAGTTTGCCGTTAGAGATTTGAGCCTTGTGTAAACACAGGATTAAACTGTGTGTGTGTACGTCTGCAGTGTTTTCTGCTGCTATGTCTAACAATAACGAACTGGCCCAGCTTTTTAAACAAAAGTTCATGGTGTTCTTTAGGTATTTTCATTAAAAATATCATTTAAATCTGGCCACTTTTCGCAGTAAATTCTCCTCCATGCTCGATAAATGAAATTCAGAATAAAATTACACATTGAGTTTACACTTGAACTTAAAAATGACTATTACGATGGTCTTATCCGATGGCACTTTTATTTATTTCCGTTCCCTGTACGCGTGGTTAGCAAAGCCTGCAGTAGATTTGCAGATAAACCCATGTAGTCCGTGTGATATCTTCCAGGAACCACGGATTCTGGGACCTGACATTTGGGAAACGATGTGACATCGAAAACATTTGGCAGAGGTGTTCACGTGGGCGGAAAATTTGCTGGCATCTGAATTCATTTAAATGGCCAAATTAAAGCCCTATTTGAACCTGAACAATCGAAATTTGTGGAGATTTACCTGTGGACTAGCGCTGTTCCGCAAAAAAGTTTAACTTAGGGCACGAAGCTGACAGAAGCAGCATTTATTAACCAGACATTAACAACCGGTGCCCAGTTGTGACCTTCACGTTGACACTGGGGTTGGTGCCTGTGCGTTTTTAAGCTAACCAGTTGTTTTGGAGTTCCGGTCTACCGCCAGAAAACATGTCTGGTAGTTCGGCTAATGCATTCTTGTGTGGTTTCCGCAAAGAAAGCTGCCTCCAGCTTGTAGACACCGTTTTCGGCAAAGCAGCTGTGCTTACCGAAACCGCATACCTCATGGTTCAAAGACTCTAATCCCTACTACGCTTTTGTACTTCTTTAGCTTGTATCATTTTCTGGTTCTTTTTGATAGCATTTTACCTTTGTAAAGGTGCATCAGCTCATCACTTTAACGTACTAAAACGGACCAATCAAATGTGACAATTCGTATGGACAGAAATTTGAAACCTGCTACTTGCATTGGGACGTTGTTGCTTTACATCGTCCTCTAATTTTGCCTCGCTGCAGTAAAAGACCAACTTGTAAATGTCTCACAACGGCATTGTATAAGTAAATGCCACAGGATGCGCGTTTGGCGTAGCTCTGGGAAATCTGGATGCCAGTCAGAGAAAAATGTCAAAGTGCAAACAGGTGACACGCAAAAATGCGCACCCTTGATTGTCACCCAGTGTAGGACCTCATAACTTACTCGAGGTGATGAGAAACATCCTCGATTTCATTGGCTATTACCTGAAGTGGCACGAAAAAGATTGTCCCGAACCCGAAACCCGACCCGACAATCCGGTAGATGGTCTCTGTTCGTTCGGGATATTGCTGGAAGGGAACAATTTCAGATGATTATTGGTTGGGAATCTTTCTCGTTGAATCCTCGACCAAGGGTTAATGGGGTAGGCTGTGAGAATTGTGCAAAATAATTCGATTTAACGGATGTTTGGTGGCCAAAGGTGACTGTGTTATTGCAAATTTAAACGTGCTCTGTTAAAGCAAAATACCACAAATCATTTGATTACTTATTTGATCAAGGTCACCAGCAGACAAATGCACCAATCCCAAAAGTGCATAATTTACCAATCATATGCTTCATAGTTGTCAACTGACCTCGGCTGACCAAGGTCACCAGGTGACATTTTTCTCAAACAAAGCAGACCAATGCTCATTGCCCCGGGCTTTCTCATTAACCTTAAGTACCTGTGTTCAGTACTCGGTCCATAAGATTTCAATTATCATATCATTTGTGAAATTGTTTCAAAATTTCTCAGCCGAAATTTTCAGCCTGAGTGCGAAAGAAGGGGAATTTTACGGCAGCACACGGAGCTACTAAAGATTAAATCTCAAGAGGTGTTCGCGCAAACATGTTACCCTGTCTAGCGCATCTGGTTGCTTGAACTCGCAATTACTTCCTTGAATTTGGTGCTATTTCCATTAAATGCTCTGCTCATATGTCGGAATGCGTCAGGAACCAATAAGAACGCAGCTAAATTCGAAATATCGATTATTTGCATCCCTGTAAACTGAAATGTTTACTGAATTTGTAAAGATTAGCTTCTTTAAAGACGAAGCACGCGCGGTCTTTTGAGCGTAAAATGTCATGCATTTCTTTGCATTTCCGTTTTTCTACCCTGAACATAAAAATCTAATCAAGTTGCTGAAAAGTCTGACTAGAAATAATCAATCAATATAGGAACGCTTCAGTTGTTAAACTAAGAGGCTCAAGAAACACCATAGGTAAAAGATTCCTTAAACACTGAGCTTGTTTTTTAACAACCTAAAATGCTCCTTATGCACTTTTTGGAAACTTTCGTCTTTGTGATTGGTGAATGGGTTTGAAGGAATTTTTAGGACTAGGCCAGATTTTTACGATGTCGTTTCTTCCGGTATTTCGCGCTTTCAAGTTTCGTGTGATAGGAAGAATGGTTGCCAAGTGCCAGAAATCAGCAGATCCTACCTCGACGGCATGATTCAGGCTGGCAGTCAACGAAATGCCAATTGCGATTTCAACGAGCACAGAATTTGTGACTAAGAAATAGACCATTCCGCAGTTGATTGTCAAGACATTGAGAAAAACTCCACCACTGCAAATAATCGCAAAAGTACGGCGCTTACTTAAGGCAGAAGAAAAAATTTTCATTAATAAACAACACTACAAAATATTATGCTTGTTCACATAATGATAACAACTGTTTATGCATAAATGCTTAAAGTCTAAATCGTGTGAACGACTGCGTATCGTGGGATTTTATGCCATGATTGATTGCTGGCGGAGATTGTGTACTTGTGTTATCAGTTATTCAGTAAAAAGAAGAAAAAATTAGTTTTTTTGTCACTATAGACCTCGTCAAATGTTCAGTCAGGCAATCGAAAATTTTGTGGACAGAAGATGTGCCAGGACGTGAGTGGGATTGTCGAAATGTCACCATGGCAGCTACGATTGACACTGTCATCATGTCATTTCTCACTTGATTTAAATATTCTAAGCATGATTCGTGATTTTTTGTAGCACTACCGCTTGCGCTGCCACCCCGCGATCATTAAATTCACTCCGATCTTATATATTGCATTCGTGCCAAACACAAAACCTTATTATCACTGGTCGATAACATTTAGTCTCACAGCTACTACTTAAATGCACACAACCCAGGCATTCTGGTTCTTTTAATTGGGGATTTGCAATGGAAATCTTACATAAATTTTATGAGTGTCCGCGGACTTTAATCCATGTACTTTGCGTAAATATAAACTGTTTTAAAATTAAAACAAACAAGTGCGCAAAATCACAAAATGTACTATGGAGATTTCTAACGTACACAGATTTTGCCCTGCACTGCTTGCCCATTTAATATAGTTTCAAATTTATCCAAAGCAAAAATCATTAAAGAGTAACAGTTCAAATTACCGCCTTTGTTTTAACCTACTAAAAATCGATGCCACCCACTTATTGATTTTACTGACAACCATGAAGGGTTTTCATTGGGTAGAGTCAATCTAGAAATTTCTATTTCCTATAAAAGTAATCTTATCACCTGGAATCTATGATAACTGTATAAGAAGTTACTAGTATGTTGACATTAAGCGACAACTTTTAAAGAATTTTCATTTTTCATGGCTAGTTGAACTTTTCACGTACCTGTACAAAACAACAGTTGCTAAGAGGAGGTACAGGTAGGGAACTCTTTCAGAGAGGGCTTCTCCAATTGGTGTGAAAACGGATTTTGCAACTATGGCCGCGCCAAGGAACCACACACTAGCACTGGCTGTCAGCTTCAGGTGTCGAATGAGGTACGTGCTGAGGTTACCTGTTAGAGGTTGTCAGTCACCACCCACTTGGCATTAGTCGAACTCACCTAGCGTGTTGGTGTATCCAAAGGAGAACTGGAGAAGCGTGGAGCCGATTACCGTCAAAATCCGCACGCATTGCCCCCTCGTACACCCAGCACCCATTTTTCGGGACGCGGCGTCGTCAAGTATTTTATATTGGCCGGCGAAAATAGCATGTTTGATTTTGATTGGTCGGAAGCGAAGGTGCAACTCAACTGACCACTTAAAGTGCGAAAAAGCCTGGAGATAGACTTTGTAGGCCTCTGGTGTGTTGTCAACACAAATTCACAACATTTGGATGCGTAGAAGTTTCATCTAGTCTGTGCGAATCAAAGGAATGTTTCCTAAGTGTTGATGGACCCACAGCAAATACCGTTTTCCCCTCTTCGTATTGGTCAATTCAGGTACAAAAATGTGATGCCTTCTGTGGTATTTTACCGCATTTGTGTGAAAGGAATTCCTTAGCTTTTCACCCTACACCTTCACTGTTCCTAGACGAAAGTTAGGAATCTTGATTATCTTAGAAAGCCTGGTGGCAAACGGTTCCCTCCGTCCACTGACGCATCGATAGATTTGAACATTTCAAAGTAGGCCTTAGTAAGAAAGCAAACGCACATTGTTCATCTTGGCTTTTTCTCGAAAACTTTGCTGGCTATTCCATTTTTGTGGGCAGAGGTATTCACCTTGCAGACACACCCTTGACGACAAAGCTACTCTTGTTTAAACATGATCAAAGGTGGTTACCTAGGAGATAGCCATCTTAAACATTATTTGATTTTGGTGGTTAGAATAGCCATTGCAATAAGCGATCGCTTGTTAAGTCTCCTGCAGACACTTCGGGGTAAGTGGGTGAGATCAAGTTTACCGAACCTAAACGCAAAACACGACAAGAGGGGAGAAATTGGTCAGGCATTATCGATCTGAACACCCACAGGAGTGCGACTAGGAGACACCTCGTTATTACCACTTAACCCGTCCATGAAAAAGTAGGTTTAAGGCCCTGGTAGAAAACACAGATTTTCATTGAGATTCTTTGTTACCTAGACGGCTGCAAGCACGTCACCTGTTAAAGCTCAATCCATCAATTCTTCATTTAGCAATACGCAGCAAGACTATATTAACCTTCCTCGTAAACAGCAACACAAGTAGGCTTTTTGTTCGGAGTGGCACAAGTAGACACAGCATTTAGCGTCATTTAATTGCTCGTAGATGCTCGGTGATACCCTAGCAGCCTAACCGTACGTAGTGACGAGGAACCTCGTTCATCGGCTAATTACTGTGTCTCAAGGTCAACTAATCCAAGGTCGATGCACGAAAAATCAATAATCGAAGTAATGAGCGCACATTTTGTGGCCAATGACTATCAAATACAGGGATTGAGTACGTGGGGATCTGCCCAGCTATCCATGCCCACGGCGAGCTCAAAGTACACATTTTCCGAAGACGTTCTACCACGAAAACCCTCCTTCAGTACTTGCACCAAACGTCGAACAAGGATACGAGAAAAAAGCTCCCTTCACAGGTCACGATTATGTTTCGGGAAACCTCACACGGTCCTGACAAACGTGTTACTGTTACTGTCTTGGTAACAACCGTACTTTATACCAATACAAGTCATTTATTAAATACAAAAGAACAGGAAGGAATGGAAGTCACGAAAGAATCTCAAAATATCACAAGCACGGACAAAGACGACGCTGTGCGAAAGAATAATAAGAAGAAGACAGGAAAAGGCAGCAGCAACCGGCAACTACCACTAATCAATAGATATCAAATCGAAAACGTCCCTTTGCGGCTGGGACGGCGGTGTGGCCGGTTTCTCGTCTGGCGTGTCTCCGAGGTCCAGAAGTGTGTCCACGTCTTTGGCGAGGCCCGTTTCATCAAGGCGACCACCGTCGAGGGGCTCCACATCGTCCTCCTCCTCCTCCTCATCGTCTGTCTCGCCGGTGTTGATGAGCTCGGACTTGTAAGCGAAGGCGTCCCGAGAGAGGTCCATTTCCAGCGGGAAAATCGTCGCACCCTTCATGACCTCGTAGCAGTTCTCGTGGTAGGAGGCCATTGCCGAGACAAAGCGCTGAAGCTGTATCACTGTATCTTGCACTGATGGGCAAAGCAAGAAAAACGCCAAGTGAATGTGAGATATGTCAAGTGCCAAGCAGAAACTTTATTCCTACTAGCTGTACATAAGTAGACTCACCGTGTTTATTATCAAGGAGCTCGAGTTTAACAAGGACATCATTGCGGAGTTTGGCGAACCGCGTCCTGGCGTCTTGGCGACAGCGGAGCACAAGGCGGTACTCGTAATTACCCGTCTCGACGCGGTAAAGGGGCTCCTGCAGGGCATTGAATGTGTACTCCTCGTCATCCATCTCCTTCACCTTCAGACAGTACGACTGAAAGAGAGAAGACGTGGGTGCGTGTGTTTACAACGAACGCCGTGTGACGCGGCACCACCGCGTTTTCACATACCAGATACTCGAATTTCACATCCAAGTAGCGTTTCACAGTCAACTTCGTGTCGGGAATGGCCTTGGTGAGGAATGTGTTCAAGTCGGAGACTATCTACAACAAGCGGTGATGCAGGGATTACGGTCCGGGAACGAGTTGGTAAGGAAAGACAACGATAGCACACACACACACACACACTTACCGGCTGTAGTTGTTTGAGTGCGTCGACAGCGAATTTCTCCATCTCCCTGTGCGCCTCGCCGAACTGAGTAAAAGCCTGGCCGGCACGTACCTGGGGCTCTTTTACGCCGATCTGAGACATGATGTTGCCGAAGGCTGGAGCGCACGGAGAACAGTTTTTTTTTAGGGGGCCGTGTCACTAGGAAGTGCAGGCATCAAGTAAAGCAAACTCACTTCGGTGAATCTTCGACAACTGGAAGATGGCCCTGATGAGAGAGCGTGTGTGTTGCACGAGGTCACTGAACATCGACGCCGTCCTGTTCATCTCATCCATTTTCTTTAAAAGGCTATCTGAAAAAGCAAAACCAGAGTTGTGTGAGGCAAGTAGAGGGTCTTTGTGGCAGAACAGGTGATCAGTTGATGAAGATTTGACGGTTAATCGATAAACGGGAATAATGTTTAGTGTACAGGCACCACGACATGTCGAACTCAACCGACTACAGGAAAAGAGGCTTGGACAATAACAAACAAAATTGCGTCAAAATGTCATTATACTTACCGTTAACGAGAATCGCCCGGCTCAAACCAAGCGCATCTGCCGTGCTCGCCTCCATATTTTCAACCATCTTGTGCTTCAACTTCTTCAGAACTGGAAAAAACCAAGACAGACTGTCATTTCGAATATAGCGAGGGTCAGGTTAAGACGAGAGGAGAAGGCTTCACATACCAATGTCCAAAGTTTTGCCCTGTTTAGGATCGGCATGAAGTTTGTTGAAGTAGATAGTCACGGAATCCTGAAATTTAGATTTACACCCAACAATATTCGACGATTACTAAACTGAACAATGATAGTTAAAGACAGGTGATTTAACACAAAGACGCGCAGTTTGGATGGCGCACAGATTCCTGAAATACTTTCCAAGTAAAGTGGGATGAATCAGCACGATTTTAATTGACACAAGCTGCTGGCTAGTAATAATAATGTCCAAGCAAAACGGTTTGAATAATTGCAGCTAACAAGCCTGAACTAGGCCCGAAAAAGCGCTAGAAACAGAATAAAAGTGCTGTCAATTAATAAATTTCGCAAAAATTAAAGAAGTTTGGCAATAGTGGTCAGGTTTACGCTATAACAATGTTGCTAAATAATTACTGCCGTTACTCTGTTGGTAATTCGGCACCGGAAGCGTCCAGTTGATTCGACAAACACAAACCGCGCAACCACAGGGGTATCAGATTAGATACGTTTCAATGATTTCAGAGATCAAAGTGATTGCGACAATTGCCTACTTGCCATTGTCGATTTCTAAGCAAAACACCACTAAAAGCAGTGCATCACCCAGGAGTTAGTTGAAAAGTATTCTAGAGAACCCGAGGCACAAGCCCTGAACACTACATCAACCGTCAGAATGTATCAATTCAAAATTCTCGACCGCGTTTTGAGAGTAGAAAGTAAAGATCTGCGAGGGACGACTCAGACCGTACAACTATAATTAGCGTGAAATAAAGCAACACAAAAACTCCACTTTAACAAGCAGCAGGGGTTTGAACATCGAACAATTTCAACGCAATTTCAAAATACACATGGGAGGCTCGAGCAACACTGCGATGTGTTCGAGAAACTGTAAAGATGGATATTTTAGAAAAAGTGGCCAAAAAATTGAATGAAATTAATGATTAACTCACCGAAAAGCTCTGGATTAGACGGGCCACTTCAACCTTGCCTTTGCCCTTGACACGGACACCACCAACACCGGTTATTTCGTCACCGGCCTGAATGGTGCCGTCGCGCGACGCAGGAGTGTTGTCAAACACTTGGACCACGTAGAGGCAAGGACAGTATGGAGCGCCCCCACCAATGCTAATTCCTACCAAATTTTGGGGGTCCTTTTTAAGGGTCACAGACCCGCTCGTCACTAGCATGCCGCTAAATAGAAGGCAAATATTCATTTCTTAGACAATCGCGGAAAGACAACAAAAAATCCACCCTACTAAGAAGAACAAAACAACTTCTGATGCTTCACATATCTTGGCATTTTACAAAGACTGCGCTACTCTTGCCTACAAGATATATGAAAACTCTTGTCAAAAAATTTAAGTTGGGTGTGTGTGTGTGTGAAGGAGTTACTAGACCATGTATTTACTTAGCTCGCCTCTTTCAATCTACTTTGTCTTTAAAAAAATATAACGCGCGTTGTTTCGCCAACCAAGTAGTTTCTACAAAAGGTCTGGAGGAAGCAGCTACATAACATTAACTACGATATATAGAGGGCAACATTCTAACTAGATTGGAAGGTGGTTGGTAACCGAAAACATCATGAAAACAAATCAACTATTCCAAAAATAAGAGTAAAACAGCAAACTCACAGCTTATCTTCTTCGAAAACGTAGGAATCGTACATTCCACAGGTAATTTGCAACTTGGGTTGAAACGTCAACAATTAACCAATTCAAATCAGCCGGCTTATTGACCTCAAACTTTTTCAATGGAGTCATTTTCGATTCGATTTCATGGTCTGCTAAAATATGTGCCGTACTTTATCCATTTTCCTTCTGCCGCATCCAGGCTGTATGTTGTATTCACATTTATTATTTAAAAGTTTAAAGGACATATTACGATTTAGGCCAAAGCGGAATGTTTAAATTTTTGTTATCCCAAATTTCTTTGAAATCCTTTCTGATCCATCTTAGAAAAATCCCACCAACTTCATCAGGAATTAGCATTCTTAACCCTCAAAATTTGGTTGATCTGATGCACTAAGCAGAAATTCGGATTACGATAATTAGCCCATGCATTTTTCAGGTACGTTCACTTACTCGTTTCCAGGTATGAAAAAAGAATGCAATACACTAGTTCGCACATTTATTTTTGTAGATAGTACTTAATCAAATATTAATTCTCCATTTTGTGTAATTGCTAAATTTTAATTTAGCAGAATAAAAACACGTAGAATTTTTCACATAACCCAATAAACCAATTTACTAATCGAGCAACTCTTTCTAAAAGGTTAAGTAAAAAGAATTTCATTCAAAATGAGCCATGCTTGGGTGGAAGGCGCTGCTTGGAACCCATATTCCGAATTGATTGCTTCGCTAGTTCTGTATGATTTGCTGCTGTTATGAATGAATTCTGTTTATGCCTATTTACCGTTAGGGTATCGCCGTTTGATTTCTGGCCAAACGCAAGTATTATATATTCGTGCACAATTCTTAATATAGTACATGGAATACATGTTATAATGTTTTCAGTGTAAATTTGACAAATGAATTCCTATTGGGTGAAATTTGAAATCCTCTTTAGTATTGTAGACCCTTTTTTTAGCATCAGTGGCAGTGGGCACGTCGTTCGTTAAAGCACGTTTATCAGGATATTTTAGTAGTTAGTAGAAAACATGTAAGATGAGAATTGCACGTTTGAGCATTTTAGTTAAAGCAAAATTTGACTTTCCGTTACGCGAACTTTTAAAAACCACATTGTTTCTCTTGTAAAAGAGAGTGTTTGTTTAAATACATAGCCTCATACTTTTGATGAAAATTCATTTTCATTAATTAAAATCTAATGAAATAGTATTTGTAATTAAGGCCAAGTTAACTTCTTGAAAATTTTATTTCAAAATAAACTTCAGTTCGAAGTATCGAAACAATATGAGAATCATAACAGAATCCGTTACAACGATGTCAAGACACAAAAAAAATTTTGAGATAACAGTAATATATTTCGTGTGTTGACATTGCATTCTGATATCAAATTTGGGACTTGGTAATTTTTTTACCATATTTTTCGGCTTGGCAGCAATCAGCATCAAAATTTGGGGTTTTCGCAGCACCTGTTTTTTTGCGTTGCATGATGCCTACATTGGTTATTAAAACTCACGTTAGATTATTACAGTTAATGAAGTGTTTAGGGGTGCAAAATTGCTGCTCTCATTCTGCTAAAAGGGTACCTCAAAATGCTGATACATTACTGTTCAAATATTTATGACCATAGTCATTACAAAGCCTGAACTGTTAAATCAGTAATGGGAATTTTATTTCGATGCTAAGAAATTTCACCACTGTCATCTTGCTTTTCTGTGAATGTGAATAACGTACCTCTCAACTTTTCTTAAATATTAATACTCTGTACACAGGCAATATCATTGACATAAGGGTCTATGAATGAGTGCATCCCTGTGAAACATGTTTTATTCTATGATGCTTACAAAAACTTTATGCACACCCATCGCGTCTGGCCGTTTGAGGTGATTATCAAAATTGTTACCGCATCTTCAATCTTGACCTAAAGGTAATCTGTTTTGAAGTCAAATATTTCTAGTAGCTTCTCGATGGTTGACAACATGAGACCTAAACCAACCATATGTAGAATACCCGAGCCCTAATAGGTAAAAGACCGGTACAACAGAACAGGCTTTACTGACCAATCAGAAGCCAGAGCCACACGTCAGGCGCCTTCCATCCGAGTCCGCCACGCTGGCCACGCCGCCCATTATATACTGCATCTCATCCATGTCCTTCTCTGGTTGGCTGCCTTCCTTTCCCGCATGCCATTGGATCGCAGAGAGACACAGGATTGGCTGAGGCCAGGTTGTCCTACATGTCTGCGCCCTGATCTGACGCCACACATAAACCGCTGACTAATGCCAAGCTGACTAAATTGATGCTTCCCCGGAAAGCCGTGAAAATTAGACTCTATCCCATAGTAATTAAACGAAATCCGCTAGAGCAAGAAAGCAAAAAAAGTTGTACTCTCTCGTTATAATTTCAAAAAGTCAAAACCCCATACTCAGATGAAATTCGATGGTATGGTAATCGCTAAAGATACAAAGCTGAGCCATAAATTTTTAAGAAACGCAAATCTGTTTTAAATTTTGTCCCAGTTCCGTTTCTTTATTTTGCCAACACTATCATCTCTAAAGTTTCACCATGTGTGTAGTACCAACCATGTTTGCTGAGCTTTCCGGTGTAAAATGGCAACGTGGAAGGCGATACTTAAATGCAATGTGTGATCCGAGATAATTCGTAATGTCCGAAAGTGGACACAAAGATGGGTGTGCAGTCAAAATTTCAAAGTTGATTGGAATTACATGACGCCCTTTGTAAGGTTCACCGCCCCACACGCATTGGAAATTTTTGGGTTAATTACTCAAACCAAGAACTTGTCCAGTCTTCTTAGCCTTCCTGACCATTCTGCCCAATGCAAAGGTGCAGGGCATTTCCACTAAAATATTAACAAAATTGTCCATCAAAACATATTTTGGTACACCAACACATCAAAGAACTCAATTAGAATCAAAACATTTTCCAAAACCTTACTTTACTGCTGGTGAAGAGTATTGTTTGTTCGACTCCTTACATTCCTCAGCCTGACGCATGATCGAGCGTTTTCACTATCATCTGCAGGTATTTTTACCATCAAAAGGCGTTTGATTTACTTCAGTATTAACGTTGTTCCCAATTCTACACCAAATTTGTTTTGTCATAAGAGAAGACGTAGGCTGTTCCCCTCTGAAGTGGTTTTAAATACGATGCTTAGAAAGTTTGACAGTTTTTTGTTGCGTAATTACAAATTCCTAAAATGGACCTCCGTCTGCTTGAGGCACTGGAAACTATAGAATTCACAATTCCACCTTGGCCAACCGCAGTCCTTTACATCCCAAAGCCGCTGTTCTTGCGGTCTAACCCCCATAACACCCGGCCCTCGGGACCTTAAACATGCGTTGACCTCAATTTATTGAGTACCTGTACAATGACTCCACTGTTAAAGTACTTAAACAAATACAATTGACTGCTATAATCGTTCGAAAACGGAGCCACAAAAGTTCTCACATACTTTTTAAACTTTTCATGTACAATTTTTCGTGAAAGTCCTCGTATTTTTATTCAACTGATTAAAAACCTATAATGCTCTCTCACTCCATGATCAGCATTTGGGATACCCAACAGGAAGTAAATTTGGTATTGTCGATTTTCTGGCAACAATGTCTTAACTCGATCTCTACATTTTTGCGCCTGGCTTGACACTCCTAGGTTCACGGTTGCCTTACCGCCGTACGGGAAAATGTGACCTACTATCGATCAGTCTTTAAGACACTGATGGATGGAAATGTTACACGGACGACTGGCCGAAATCAACTCTATGCACCAATTACTGGCCAATGACCCAGCAACGAAGACTGCCAGCCAGGTACAGTCATAAACGACGTTTCAGCTAATGCGTATAAATTCAGGATTATCACACTTTATTGTTTAGGGGGACGGCTACGGTGAACCTTGTGGAATCACGAACGTCACCGTAGACTACGCATCCATTAACTCCCTGCTGAGTCAATTTTTTTTAATACTGTGACATATTCGAGGAACACAGGATTATCTTTGCATGTTTTGCTATCTCTAGTTTATTTTCTATGCTAAGACGCACCCAGAATTAGTGGTCCTGTAAACGCTTTGGCCTCTGCCATTATTTGTCTTCTACTTCTTTTCTAAGCGTTCAAAGCTAAATTTAGCCGCAGTATCTACGGCAATATGTTGTTTTGGTCTACATGTGAATCCCACATCGGAACTTTCAGCACAGTAACTAAACGGTCTGAATCGACCTTGACTCACGAAATGTTCGTTTGAGCCACAAATGACACTTATCTTTCTCCAAATGATTCTGTTATCTAGGGCCATGTCAGACATGATTAACTATGAACAATAGGTTTTGAACATTGATAGTATTGCTATAGTACATGTTCATTGACTATCAGTAAGGGCGTCAAATCTTTCTTGAAGGTTCCATTTGTGTGACAGTCACGTGTTTACCACATGTTACAGCCAGCATTAAAGATTTACTTAATAATGCTTAAATAATTTATTTAAGACAAATTTGACACATAAGGGTGTACCATACCACTCATAGATTATTTTACTGGTACTAGCCAGCATTTTAGCTTAACGCGAATATCATCAATATGTGCAATCAACGTCCTTGCAGAAAATTGGGTGTGTAGTTTATTTATCTGCTACTTTTTTTAATTCACTCTGCCTTAAATGTTCTTTAAAATCCCTTGCTCACGTGGAACAGCCTCAATCCGTGCCTACTTATGACAACTTTTGGTCCTTCGCAGACATTTTGTGTATACTCGTCATTACCATTAAACGTATGTCTTTAATATCTGTTCTCCATAAGTATTAATTCGCAGCTGCAATCATAAAAGTAATATTTCCAAATAACGCAATTTATTACGTCTCCATTACCTTTGTTTGTCCATCTTTCCATCATGTGCGACTCAGGCCAATGTAAAAACTCCCATGCCACGTAACTACCTGTGACATCTTGAGGCTCGCTCAGTAGGGCGTTATCATATTGTTTTATATTTAAAGACGAAACGTTCGTAGCTTAAAATAGTAGAGACTAACATCAGAAAAAATGGTTAAATATGTCCACAAATAAACGAAGATCGATTAAGGATTTTAAGGGTACAACAAATTAGGCATTTTTCATGAATTTTTAAGATTTCAGGAACACTAAACTATAAAATGTACACAATTATTAAAATAATTACATATGCAAAATAGTGAGGTGAGTGGAAATTCCCACAATTGCACTTATACTTACAGTTATATTGCACTTCCAGAAGTTAGATTGTGACCTCAAGGTCGCGACCAATTTGACTATAAATGCTCGTTTTCGTGTGCTAATGTAATTACTAAAATGCCACACTTAAAACTTTGTAAACGGACATGGAAATATTCTGAAGACGAATTTGTAATATCGAGTATAACTCAGTCAATTCTTCGAATTTTATTGTTTGTGAGATTTCTAGTTAATTTGACTCTTTCTAGGGCCGTGGTTGCTGGAGCATATCTTTGGAAAGCTGAGAATCTTCCACCTATTAACGATAATTTACTTGAAGTACTTTGTCCTAATATGATTCGAATTTTAGATTTTATTTATTGTCACGTTTGTCTTATGTGGACTGCAAGTTATCACCCTCATAATAATCGCTTTCGTCAGCGGAAGGGGTGGTATAATGGAAGTTCACAAACGCAAGCATATTGGTGTGTGGTTGCTGATCCACCTCATTTTGATGATCTTGGAACTTGTATTTTATTGCCTTTCAATTTGGCAAATCACGGTCCTTCATACAGAAACCCCCGAGGTATTCATTTTTATTCCGATCATCACCTTAAAGCTCATGCAAAAATTATTCACTTTCGTTTTATTATAACACCCGTTTTAATAAATTTCCACTTTCAAGATCAATTTTACGTTAATTTATGTGTTAAAAATCAAATCCAACTTCATTGGCTAAGCCACTGGCTCTAAGAATCTTCATAAATAATATATGTGCCCCCTGTATTACAATACTTAGGAAATTTTAATTTGTTTTCAGTTTAAGCGTAACGCACAAAACGGTAGTGTAAAGTGTCATTTTACGATGATGGTTTCTGCAATATCTGCACTTTAATATATCACTTTTCTGAGTTTTGGAACTTTTGTTTTACGAGGCGAGCATGGTTGACAACCATTTAGCTGAGGTTTGAACTTGAGACATCATGATTTAGTATTCCATTTCGTGCTTTTTGATTTAGGGAATTTGCTCTAACTGCTGTTGGAAGTTTAGCTTAATGTGGTTTGTTTTAGAAAGCGGATTTTTCAAGCTTTGTTGCAGTGATCGCTTGGTGTGCGATTTTACTATTCACTATCGTATGTGAAATCATTGATTGGATACGACACTTTGACAAACATGGCAGATTAAAGTATCAGTTTTATCAAACATTCCTCTACGGTGACGGGAACGACAAAACGGACGATGAAAAAAGGGAATTGATTGAAGCTGTTCGACAGATATCGCACATCAGATGGAGCGGTTTCATCAGCGATAAAATTACGTCTTCTAAATCTCCAGATGATCCAAGAGGAGAAGCTGTCACCGCAGTTGCTTCTGCCATCTCTGATCTACTCACGGTATACTCTAATGGATTGAGTTTTTCTCAGTGTATATTGTCTTAAACTATTTACACAAATATGTCAGAAGCATGTGGTACGGTGGTGGTTAATTGTATTTATTTACACAGATAAAATAGGAAATGTGAGTGATTTCAACATTTAAATTAGTATTTTTTTGCGCTAACGTCTTGTACTGGGACGTGAACTCCATTAAAAAGGAAAGAAATGTAGTTACCTTATTTCTTTTATTTGCATCTGTTGAAAATGTTGTTAAGTTGATTGTTTCATGTCACCCTCAATTTTTTGATGCAAAATTTTTGGTCCACGTTGTGTGCATGTTCGGTTCAGTTACTGTCATTATTGCTTATTTAGTTATAATTCTTGAAACGGGTTGCGTTTTTACATGCCGGTATCTTCAAGTGATGATCTATGGTTACAACCGGCAGCTCTTTTTTTACCAAAACCGAGCAATTCAAGCCGTCAAATATAAAATTTATGAAGTGACTAAAGCATGACTTTTTAAAATGCTAATATTTCAGGTGATTAAATTATCCCAAATAAGTCGATGTCACCATGATTTTCGGAAAATACCAGTGAATGCATCAAGCCTTGTTAGACTAACATGTTGATATTATTAGACTACTAGAGTTACCGATGAATTTGGCTTAAAGTAAATTGGTTTCTGCAAATTGCATTTAAAAACCGTTGGTTCGCTGTGAAAGTGGTTTAAATCCTCTGCAAAATCTGCTGAAAAGCCGTATTTCAACAGTAGACCCACTGAACTTTATCGCGCACCTCTTAATGAGCAAGACTACCCCGCTGTGTTTGCCCGATTGCTGTTTTATGTGAATGCGCAGCTTTTTTTGACATCAGTTAAGTTTAGTGTTAGTAATGATGGTGACGTCACTTGATACCTTGTTACTTAGGACTTGGACCTCACATTCTCGGATCTGGCAGTTGGCCTGCTTCTTCTTCAGTGGCAGACGAAGTACTGGATAGGCGGACAAAGTCGTGTGCCTGCGAAGTACGTGCTCAAGCAGACCGATCCTGTCTTAACAGACTTGGCCGCTCCCGTATGTCCTCTGTCTTCCATTTCCGCTAAATTTTCAGTTGGTCAAACTTGCCACGGTTCAATTCGCATCAACTTAAATGTCCTAATTACTCTTTATCTCAAATACACCTGCGGTAGACACTGTAGCCTGTTGGGACATTTCCTAACGGAAGCGAAGACCTGCTGAGAGCTGCCGAGAAAAAATAGCTTTTGGGATTTTTATGGGATTCATATACGGGAGGCCATGGGATGAACTTGGTCCAGCGAGACCTATAACTTTGATTAGTCGCTTGTTAAGCTTCTTTCACAGCCTTGATCAGAGCTGATCAATCAATAGTCATATTCCCAACCCATATCATGTTTCGTCCTTCTTAACTACTGGTGAATAGAGTAGTTTAAGAGCCACATCAGAACAACTTTACATTTTTAATTTAGAATGACAAGAAGAAAAAGAATCCGATCGATCAACTGAACAAGGATTGGCTGCATATCTCAAGACTGAAGCGTTACTCGCACTTGGTCAATGCGTCATACGGGTGGATCTATTACTACCTGGAAAACCCCTGTGACTGCACCGCCTTAAATCGGTTGTGCCAAAAGATATCGTGGAAGTAAGTGCTTTCCCTAAACCGCGATGTCCATGTCGTTCATTTGGCAGCCGATCTTTCGCCATTTGAGTGTATTTCCTCCGCAATTTGCTTTAAGTTCAAAGTTCGTGGCGTTTTCTGCTGTAATCCTGGCCCATGTGATAATTTGTACCCAGTGAATGGTTTTTACTAAAAACCGACTTTGCACGGATTTCTCCAGACGCTGTCACGTCTATCGATGTGTGTCTTTTATAACGTCGTCGTCTAAGGTCATTTCCACACCGCTAGCCGAGTTTATTTGATGCAAGAACGCAGATTTACACTAGAATGAGGGCCATATCAATAGGAGACAAAGTTATAGAGGTCAGATGACAGGTAAGAGGAATGCGGTTGTCGGGTTGCTTAAGTGTATTCAGCGAGTAAGGAATCGGAGGTGGTAAACGCGAATTAGCACATTTAACTGCAAGAGTATTCTTAAAAGAATTCTGTTATTAAAGCATACCTAAGCCGTCGGTGTGGGAGAACTGTGGTCTGAAACTGAGTAATCGTGGGTGGTTCGTTTGTGTGAAGCCAACATTAGCGTGGGTACTTGTTGATATCTCAATCATAACCACGGTCTGATGTATTCAAAGCTTTCCAAATAAAACAATAGGCTTATGAGACCATCTACGGTGGGTTGACTCAGATTTGGCGCACTTCCTATCGATTATTAGTAAACCTTCGGACCGATAATGATTGCTGAGTAATTGAGGTGCTTCATTTGTGTGTGGAGTGGTATACAAGCCCAATAGACTTGTTTATCGAAACAATTCACCTTAGCTAAGACTTGGAGCAGCTACACGTCAAATATCACAGGGACCCAAGTGAATACTTAGCCTTAACAGTCTCCATGACCCAGTCATACCAACTGGCAACATCGGACTGGCTTCTGCGGTTCACCGAAGCTTGTCTCTAGAGCATTTTGGATCCAGATCTTTTCGTGTTTCGTTGTATTTACCCTCGCAGAAATCCTACAGCTCCCAAAAGGCAAGTCGACCTTGAGAATGGCATTGATGGCCCGGGCGGGTGTATGTGCGCCGGATACAACTGCTACCTAGCCGCTTTCCTTGAAATGACTCAGCTCGAATGTGATGACATTCTCATCTTCGATATAACTGACCAGGTAAGCAGGTATGTCTGTTAAATGCTGCGTTTTTTATGCGCTAAGGTGCGATAAGTAAATGAACATCGTCCAGTCGTCTGCACCTGTATTTGTGCGTTTAAGTACTGCAATAGCAACTAACGATGTACCTCCCATTTCTGATCCAAGTTCTATGATGCCACCGTGATGCTGATAATCGATGACGCCACGGAGGCGATAGTGATCATCGTGCGAGGCACCCTCTCTGGCGACGACACCCTCGTGGACATGGTTGCTGCAGGCGCCCCTCTTCGTAACGAGGACAATGTTCTACCCGCAGACAAGCAGCTCATTGGCCACGGTGGAATGTGTCGAACCGCGCAGAACATTGTCAGTCGAATCATCGAGGAGGGGTGGGTGGAGGCTGCACGACGTCTGAGGCCTCGCTACCCCGTGGTAATTTGTGGTCACAGTCTGGGAGCGGGTCTGGTCTCCCTCATGTCCGCGCTTCTGCAGCCCTCCTACCCCGAGCTGAAAGCCTACGCCTTCAGCCCGCCTGGAGGCCTCATGAAGTTAGTCACATCTTTATACCACTATTTTTCACCCTACTGCATCAGCTCGTGCAAATGAACCACACTTGATAATGGAGATTTACGCCTTATGCACGGATTGCACTGACTCCTGACATGTAACGAGATCGAGCATTCGTCTCAATTAGTGGATGAGTGTTCTCAAGACGACTTATTTCAAACCAAACCCACGACCTTATGGACCCCCTGCTATTCGCCTTTTGAAAGGTAGACACACAGTCGCTCCATTCGTAGTAGGTTTGGCTAGCTGTGGCTTTCATTAGAGGATCTATCATTTTTCACAGTCGTGTTGATTCGTGTTTGGTGAATCGCGAAGGTAGTCGCAATGATGGAATGCTCGAGTCACGAACGCGAGATACAAAACACAGCCAGAAACGCGAAAGCTTAACAGACGCACGACCGCCCAACCACTTAGGCGGGAACAACAAACCCGCCCTGCACGTGGCACAAACTCGCGTTTCCGGATAAACCAATCAGAAGTCACTTAGACGGCCTTTACGCTATTTCTTGGCTTCCAATTGGTTCATAATTCCCAAAACGACTGCTTGACCGTTTGAGCGTGAGCGACGTTTTCCATCTGCAAAAATTCATTATTCTCGTCTTAAATCACGAATGCTTCAAATTTCGGCTCACAATAGCCACCATCAAACTAAAATAATGCACTTTTCTCCTCAATTTAGTGAAAATCTAGCGAGACACACTCGACCCTACCTGTGTTCGATCACTTACGGCTACGACTGCGTCGGACGTCTTGGAAGTCAAACTTTGGAAGACCAACGTGCTCGAATTTTCCACGCGTTGTGTGTGTATAAGGTGCCCAAGTTTATCGTCCTAGGCACTCAAATGTGTCTCTCCCTTCTACGTATGCTGCCCTGCTGCTCGTGCCTACCAAAGACGATAAGTCTGGATGAACAGACGAAGAACAAACTGATTGATCCCGATCTGAACGATGCCTTTGAAACTCCTATTGGATCGAAATTCAAGCCTTACGTAAAGGATAACAAGAGAGGTAAGGTTAACGGCCACGGCAGAAATGTCACCCCAGATAGATTTCCATAAATATTTCGGAGGTATTGCAAATGTTCAAGGTGTGTGCCGCTTGTGTCGAAACTCAAATCAACAGTCGAGTTCCTGAGGCAGATCTTGAATGGCAAGCTTCAGAACCTTGGAAATTATCTCCTTTGTGTCATAACATCACACGGTATCTAGTCAATAGAACGTCTAATTCATCTTCTTGACATCGAATTTCTAGTGCTGCGGTGTCCCATCCTGTTGAAGTGCCCCGAGATCATCAAGCGGCCGGTTCTGAAACAATTCCAATTAGTCGTCGCCGATCACATAAGTTTTATTCGAATTTGTCGTGGCATGTGGAATTTCTTTGACCCACATTCTCCATAATTGCTTGGCCATTCGCCTGGAATGTAGCCTCTTAGCTGAAAACACGACAATCTTCGAAATCCTCATGTCCAAGTTTGATTTGGGCATCTTTGCATGTGACTCTGCGCTTTTGCTTGTCACTCGGATTTGAAGGGGCTCGTTGCAGGTGGTCTTCAGTGACACGTCAGACAATTGTTCTTTTCAGAGGTTTTCTTAAACTATGACTAGACATTTCGCGAATTGGTTCATCGTCTTAGCAAAAAACACTGGCCGTCCAGATCATTGCTTTACAAACATCTTCCTCTTGTCGCATCCGAGCCTACTTCTCGTCGCCATTGGTTCGTGATATCTTAAAACAAGCGCTCGTTGTACATCCACATTTGACTGGATTCAGGAGTGATTCAATAAACAGGGAGCCTTACCGAACCCTGAGGTGGAAATCATGCTAAAGATTAGCTTTTTTTTCAATATAACGTACGGTCGAATTTGAGATGAAATGACTGAAATTCTTTCACATTACGATGCGATGAAATGATGTCTGATTTTTAGGGATACTCTGTACATGCAACATGAAAATATAGCCAACTTACACCAGGTTCGATGCCATGTCAGTGGATGGACTTCCTGTTGAGGTGACACGAGAAGACGTTTGTAAAAGGGATTTTCAGCAGTCAACAATTTGGACACACTTAGTTCTAATGAATTTAGTTTCTTTTGAGTGAGATGCTTGAGGGGTCAAGGTTTTAACAAAGCAAATAGCCTCAGATTGAAACGTTTTGTGTTTCAATTAAGGTTCCACCAAAATCGATCGTCTGCTGCCTTCTGAACGCTCCCTGATGCGCTGGAAGAACCCCGAATGCCATCAACTGCTGTCTCTTCCGAGACCCTACCCTCGTAGTCTCTATCCAAAATCCCTAAAGGGATCGGAGGTCAAACAGAAGTACACAATTGACTGGATGATCAAGTCCCTGAAGAATCCCGTTCCTTCCGGACGTCTGCTGCACATCCTCGAAGTGGACAGTGACTTCGAGATTAAGGGAGTCGAGCCGTATCGAAAGTAAGCGCATCTTTCTACCAAGTGACATTGAATGTCATAGTACAGTCGACGTCTCATGAAACACTCGCACCTGAGATCATGTGATCCTTATGTTATTTATAGCTTCAATGGAGTCGGTTGCTGAGCCCTGTTCTACTATGAATCAGGTCATAAAAATAACCGTGCCCTCTGTGAGTATCCATTTTGAGATGGATATTTCACACGACGTCAGATTAATGGATCCTGCAGGGGATACTGCATAGGGGTTAGATTCGAAGTAACAATTTTACTCATTAATTGGATGGCTTTGACACCAATCTTTGTGATGTGAATGAGGCTTCCTGACTGAAGGAATGTCGGCCTTTGAGAGGCTTGACGACTGCTCCATGGTATGGTTTTACGCGGTGTTTCAGAATTGTGTGCTTCGAGGCCAGTTCAAGACGAGTTCTAACAGGTCTGCGCACCCAGGTTTTACCGAAATTTGCGATAAATGAGATTTAGGTCTTCGCACGGTTTACGGTAGCTAGCATTGTGCCAACAGCGAACGAAATATAACTTCGCCCTACCCGTCCTTGTAATTGTTGGATCGTGGCTATGAATGCGGTTGTTTTCGGATGTTTATGTGGTGGATGAAGTCGGCATTAGTCCCATTACGGTTTATGCAAAGAAACAAATAAAATTTTACTGCAAACTAAATTCTGGGGGTAAGTTCTCACGATGAACACCCAAGCACATGAAGACCGAAACAGAACCAATGCACGAGGCACGCCGAAATTTCCTAACTCGAAGCGTGAGTCACTTATTGTCATGGAAGTTAATGGCAGCGTCATTCGGCATAAAAACCTATCTTTCTGGCAAAATCTTTATATTTCATGAAAGCGGTCCCATTAGCCCGCGGCCGAACCAGTTTCCTCACTTGTTTTAATTTGTGGTTCTCTTTCGCGTATAGTTTGAGTCACTGTTCCGCTCCAGGTTGTACTAAAACCAGCCCTATTTGACCACGTTCGCAATACTCCTGGCTTTTGTTATCAAGCTAGTTGCAGTTCCACTGAAGAATCAGCACATTAAACCATCAGGGAATCTCCTCCGAGTCTAAAACTCGACGTGATGCCCTCTTAAGTCACACAATTCCATCAATTATTAATCTACCTTGTCTTTCTGAGATTATTTTTTTCCAGATTTGTCAAGTAAGACCATCATCTCGGAGTGTGGCAACAAACAAAGGCTGTTCTCCCAATTAACAACTTAACTCATCAAAAGACGTACTAAAATTAATCAATACGAAAACGGAAGTAACGAAACAATTTGCTACGTGTTCTTTTGATAACATGAACCAGTAAAACCTGTGACTGTCATGTGCGCGTGATGTGGGATAGACTTCCAAAAGATTTGTGACCTTGTTGCAGCCATTGAGAGAACTTGTTTCCCGTAGTATAATGGCACAATAGAAACAAATCATAACACTTATTTAAATTACATCTCGCGAAAATAGATATTGCAATTACCGGTGCGTTGGCGGTCACAAAATCGCCGAAATTTGATACCACCACTATACAGCTAAGCGGGTTTGGTGTGCTTCCATGCCTCGTGCCACAATTTTACCAATTTCTAAGATTTCCGCTAGCCTATGTATGTGATCTGACTTGTATAGCTGACTAGAACTCAGGAAATAAACCTGGTCGGCTTCGTGACGCATTAGACAAGAACACAGGGAATTCTAACTTTCATTAAGGGTTTATTGAGAAGATACTCACGCAAAAAGGTAACCATGTAAGTCGATGGTTCGTTTTTTCGCCGCTTACCCGCATGTTATTGTGCCCCGCTGTAAATTAAGCCAAGGTCAATGTTCAAAAATCAATAATCGAATGCGTGAGCTATTACCTCGTGACCAATGAGCAAGATCAGTGCCACATTTCAATATTGATTGTAATTTTTTGTAAGTGGGAATTTATAGCTAACATGAGTAAACAATGAATTAGACAAAGGAAATTCTCCCTTAGGAAAGGAACATTTCTAATCATAAACTCGATCAAGAATTCCCACAAGTAAAAATCACAAACACATGTATTTTCCAACACAATCTTATGGCCTGAATTGTGCTCTTTTTCTGAGACAGCAACTCTACATGTGAATTGTCTCTGATTGGATAAATTGTTTAGGTGCAGCCTACCAATTAACAAAACTCGATGTGCTGTAGGTTTATTCTTGAAATACTTTTTTTCCCGACAAATCCCACGTGTATGTCATTGATTCATTTGGACAATGGTAAAAATGGTTAATTGCTTTGGCTCTGTTACATGCAGCAGGGCATGCATAATTCCTTGAGACGGGGTATCGAGTTAATAAACAAATTTAAGGTCCTCTCCGCATTCAATTTGCAAACATATCAGAAACTCTTTCGCTTCTGCGCAAAATTCCATCATAACAGTACACGTACACATAAGGGCGTGACCTTCTAAAATGAGTCAAATTGCGTCAACTTCGCAGTTTCTACTGCGTCACACCTGTGGCTCAAAATCAAAAAAAAACTAGTAACAGACCGTGCCAATTAAGCAATAAGTTAGGTGGGTTTTCATGTTGCCTGTTACGTGATAAATTCCCATAAGGGTGTGGTGCATGTTTCAACCTTCAAACGTTAACTCTTACATTGTTAAACCGACCCAATGTTTGTCTTTTACTCGTTGAAATGTGCACCATATTATGTTATAGTTCATACATAATTCCGATTTTGTAAAGATTTCATAACCAGGCATTTGTGCTGCTAGTTCTGACAGACTCACTGCTCACGGGACAGAAAAGTGGGTTTTGGATGTGAATGCACGTCATTTACGTTTTTCCTGATGCATTTCTACGCAACCCAAACGGTTATTGCTAACTGGTTAACTAGGAAGTGTCCGGTGGCTACGTCCCTATTGGTTAGTCGTGACTTGGAAATCAATTAACCTCAATGGACACAAAATCGGTAGAAATAGCCAAAACTGTCTTCCGGAAGCGAAGCATGTTTCGTGTAATGTGGTTTTTATATATTAAGGGCATCCGTGAATATTTTTTTCGAAAAATAATTGCTTCTTTTTCTGTTTTTACAAGACGTGGATACAAGCCCCCGCCAATAGCACTTTGGGCCGACGCAAACACCTTCAACAGCCTTCTAATTCACCCAAAAATGTTGTTTAATCACTCACCAATTGCCGTGTCCACTGCCATCGATCGACTCTACAACAGCATTGTCCATCCAGAAAAGGTCTTCCACAAGATCCACACCAACACGTGGCATCGCGAAATGGAACCTGTCAAGGGTATTACGCGAAACCTTACTGAAAAAGATGTCGAGAAGTTCAGCAGAGCCAGAAAGCTCAAATGACAGCCCTACCTCTTCACCTTTGTGATAGCTCACTGCTTTTTCACATTCTTAAGACAGTCCTTTTGATAGTTTATGTTTGAGATCTGATTAGATTTGCTAAAAAAAATGGGTACGCAAAATACTCCTCAGATCATGAAATGATGTCGTTTAATTCGAAGTGCGAAATCGTGGTCTCGTTGTGGCTTGGCTACACTTTCTGCACAACCATTCTTGATCACATAAAATCCTGGCTTAAAGTGGTTCAGTCTTAACTTTCGTGAATTGTGTGTTAGAGCATCTAAAGGTATTATCTTCCAAAACCCGCAAAATCGTTGATTCAAGATCTACCCTAGGATTTGGGTAACGCATTCTGGGCAATTTTGGGCCTTGATTTTATTCGCAGAATGTTAATACCCTCTAGAAGTTCCATCCCATTCAGTTTGTCTACGTTTGTAACAGTCTGTGACACGTCCTACAGCCACATGGTTGTACATTCTAACCCGGCCCCGGATGTGGGTGCAGGAATTGACTCCCTAATCGATTATCTTCATTCACACTACTCAAGTGTAGACTAATTTTGCACTGATTAATGCGAAGCTGCTGTGGAGTACACCTTCACATGTCTAAATCTTCTAAAATGGGCAACGATCATTTTCCACTTGACAAATTGAAGTCGAAACAAAGAAATGGCATAATTGCGTAAGGCTGTTCTTCGGAATTTGATGGCAATAGCTGCAGCTTCCAAACCGATTGGGGAATCGATTCGTAAACTGTCAACAGTTCTGATTGGATAGCGTCAAGATATTTGGTTGATATTAAAGGCATAATTCATTTGTTGATGAAAAATGAAGTAAATGTATTGTTTGGCACATCGTATTTGGTGTCATGCCAACTACGTTTAATTTAGGACTGGTCAGTGCGAATGAAGTGCTACGCGTTTTGGATAGAATAGCTGTCTAGGCCATTGAAAATAGAATTTTCTAATTTGGAGTCGAACTTTAGGTGGGCATTGGATAAGCGCGAGCTCCTCTCTGTGGAAATATGTCGTGCTCAGCTGCAGCATAGACGGATTCCACCGAAACAGAGAAATCCACAACCTCCAGAAATGTACGATTAGCAGACATATTCGGGATGCGATTGACATTCTGGAACGAAGGCGTCACTTCAGAACTTGTACACCCTAGATACGTAAAGCTGACTCGAAGAGATCCTGCTGATCAACACCTGGAATGGCCCCTTGAAAGATGAGTCATGAGGATTCACTGTTCATTACCAACAGCTGCAACGGGAGAATTTTCTTGTACAATGATCGGTTCTATAGAAACCAGTGTTTTCACGAAATTGCACAGCTCGTACCAGAAACTCTTCGAAGTTAACTGGGGTCAAAGGTTACTTAATCCCCATCGTAGAAAAAATGCATAGTAAACCTGGAGAGACATATTTGTCCCTGTCTGAATCTTGATTTTTTGTACTCAGCTAATCAGAACCGACCGTGCTCCCGTGTGAGTGCGTACCTCCATAGGGTCTTCTTTGTTTTGAATATCCTATACACCATTTTGATTTTTTCTAAATTCAAGAAGTGGAAAACCAGCGTACTACACACACCGGAATGATACAATACTGTGCATCGACAATCATGAAGGCAGTTCATTTGGCCTGTAGAGACATTGGATTGAGGATTGAGTGTTCATTTCATGGTGGCATGGGGGTCTCAAACCTACACCGCCAAGCCTTGACGCCCAGTATTCCCAAGAATTTTAAGGTGACTCAACTCAGCAGTGATGTTGTGTGGATAAACACATGGATGCGTGCTCAGACGTGGCCGTCTTCAACCAATTGGAATACTCATACGGGAGCGACGGTGGAGGTACGCGGGTTATTGGGAGGGCTAAGTCACCAGGGTGTCTGGATATCCGTCAACGCAATTTACTTCAATGATAGGCACACAGCCCTCCGGAATGGTTCGTCATTGTCGTCTTCTGACGTCTATCGGAACCTTTACTTGAAGCCTGGTATCTAGGCGATTGAACCCACGTCTGATGAAGCTAGGCTGGGCTGCGTGCTTGTTCTGAGCATATTTTAAAAGGCAGTATAATCCTGAAGTTTCCAAATTAGCAAACCGAAGTTACAGTGTGTGCCTTCTAAACACCAGCAGTTGTCAAAGAGGATTGGAAATCCAAAGGCTCATTTTATAAACAGTAAAGGAGAATGTTGACTTCACAGTGACGGTGGGGCTGAGTAATCACACCAATGATACCACTAACCAAGAGTGTATGTGTGTGTAAGTATTGCCTCTTGAATAGCTCCACCCCTCGGATTGGCTTCCGCATCGTGCCAACTCGTGGAGATGATTGCATCGACTGAAATTCACTCCACCTACTGCCGTGAGTAAATTGCCAGTTCTGAACCACGCATCCGAAGAATCGAAACTACAATACGTGGGAGTGGGTCTGTCTAGAAAAGGCTATGGCAAGTGAAACATCTAGATGGTTTCTCATCTGGTTGATTTTGTTGTCGGGTTTTGCCGCCTTTCTAGAAAAGCTCAAAATTTATTCGCAGCCCTGGAGCACATGCAGATGTAATATTTTGTCGAAATCACCATAAAAGCAACTGCAACACCGACAAGGATCACTCACATAAATGCTCAAACAGCAACTATTGATCCATGTGGCGTAACAACGAGCACACCGCAACTTCTAAGACATTGCCTAAAGAATGTCGTTTAATGGCACTAGTCTGTTATCTGCACAAGCATGGGTGGAGTAATGTGGTGTGTCATGTAACAGCAAAGCCATCCTACCCTCTTGTTTTGTACTTATCTATCTGGGACGATAGATGGCTCAAATTTGAGCTCTCGTAGAAGCTTTACAAGGATGAATTTGACTTTGTTATGAAGAGAGAAACGTTAGTTCCGATCAACCACAACTGCATTCATCACCCACTTTACATCGCTTCAAAAAACAAAGCGATGTGACAAGCTGCGTTTTACTTGACTGACTCTTGCGTGTCACGTTTCGATAGACTGCTTATTTCATCTTTGTGGTTAAGTTTAAGTGTCAACCTTAAAACCACGTTGCCCAAATGGACATTGTAAATGTCAAAGGGGCTGTAACATTTGCGATGTTATTCATTCTGCATTCAGTGGTTCTGGTTGGGCAAAACTCAAGTTTGTTGAAAAAAATTCACGTTTTCGTATAACTGTTCTAGTGTCCTTTGATATTTATGACGGATTTTATCTTGTAAAGGTTATCTGTGAAAAGGAACTACAGTTGAGTAGGCATGAGGAGCTTACGGAAGCTGCTGTAGTAGTGATTCGAAGCTACCACCAATCTTCCAGTCATGAGATCTCTCCGAAGAAGAATTCCCAGAACCGCACACTTCGTGGAAAACCTGTTGGTAAATTGCTTCTCGAAGTACTGCCATCATGGTAAAAGAGACAAAATTTTCGTCAATATTGTCACCGGATAAGAATGTAAAGTTGGCACTTGAATGGTGCTTCTCCTGTTTTGAGCGAAGCAGGAATTGATAAAGTATGAACAGATCTGGTCGACTTCAGGAAGGACTTGGTATGTGAACAAAAGTATCAGGGGACTAGAAAAGGCAACATCGCGAACAGCATTGGATGACACGCCACTAACACCGTTTTGTTTTTGTCAGGTGGGTTTCTGTGACGAGGTGTCATAAAGTTGTTTAGGAGCTAGAAATTTGGGGATTGTTTTCGTGCATGAATGCACCGCTTAAGCACAATAAAAGCGAGATTTTTAGTGAATATGAATAGCAGTTTGAGCTGAGTAGCGATTTCATCAACTAAATAGATTTTTAACTGTTGCTTTTTACGAACGACAACCAACTGAGAGCACCATACATGATGGTGCCAAAAGGCAAGAAAAGGCATAACCCAAACAGGAGATAGGATTTGGATTTCCATAATGACCACATATAAAAAAAGACGTGGCTAACATTGTTTGCTGACAAATTTGTCCAATATTACTGCATCCACAAAGAGTAGAAGCCAATCAATGAGGAGGCAGACCTGATCGATAAATTCTTTCATGAAATCATTGGTTGGACGGTTGTACAACACCCGAGTCCAGGTATGAAGAAGACAGGTACATCAAGACGGGTTTTAGTGATATACCACATGCTACAACCGTCCGTCAGCCACCATCTATCCAAGTCCATCATTCTGGCTGCGATGCGCATTACATATTACATACTTCTCATCCATCCTTATCCCTGGTTGGCTGATGATCATGCTCGTGGGCCATTCAAACATACAAATACAGGCTATTGGTTGAGCTCAAGGCGTGATTCGAAATGGCTGCACCATATGCCTGTAGTTCACGTCTATTGGTCAGAAAATAAACGATAAACTCACCTTGTTATGGGGATCAATGTAATTTCCCGTATCCCCCTAATCGACGGTTGGATTCAAAAGTTAGACCTCCCTTTGATCACAGACGAGGCACGAATGGAATCTAAATAGTCATTTAGAGGCTTGGATAGTTCACCCCGATAAAACTAAATAGTCAATTTTTTTGATCTAACATAGGTTATAGGTATCTATTGTCACAGTCCGTTTCCATGGCCAAATGTAAATAATTTTAGAGAATAAAAAACGAGCTCATCATTAGGACTACCGCCTACTAAAGTGGTGTGCTTATGTGTAAATAAAAGCTCCGTTCCGACATTAGTGCTTTTGTGAAGATTAGGAATTAATTCCACTAAGACTATGACGAAATGTACTGCGGGAGGCAGCCGTCTATGGGAAGTGTAATTGGTTCCCCCGCAGTAACATCAAGGGTGTTAAATCGAAACGAATCTCTACTCCCGCACCTGGAGTCAGCGTGTTAATATTACACACAAATTTGCCTTCGTGACCACATGATAAAGTCAGCTCATTCACACTGAGGTAACTGGTTAGCTAGCAGAGCCTGATGCTCTTTACCGACCTCCCGCCAAGTGACCGTCACCACTACCATGAACAAAACGGGCACGAACAGGCACGGAGGCGATATCAGCCACAAGTCACACGCTCGCCCGAACGACCCCAGCCTCCACGACAGCGACGTGACAGACCACCGTGAACAGTTATGCGAATGTGGCCAATCAGGACGGTGAGGCTAGGAAAGGTTCAGTTACCGGATCTCATTCCGCTCTGACGATGTGCCCAACGATAAAATCTTTAAAACAGCATCGTCTTGAGAATGCTTCAAAGGACGCTTATCAACAGCTGAAACATCCAAAAGGGGTTTTGGTGTGAAAAAGCAATGTTAAATGGATACTATTCTCATGTGATGGCTATGCCAGCGGTTTGATCCATGACAAAGTACAAGGGTCCGAAGCTTTCTTTTTGACAACAGTTCCGCTCCAAAAAAATTATTTACAAGGCAAACACACCTGGACTCCGTGTGCTGAAATCCCGCACAACTTGACCTTAGTGCTTAGAGGATGAGGTCACTTCACTCACTTCGATGTGACTGGCTAGTCAACAAAGCCCAGGGCTCAGAGCCGACCTCCATCGACCGGCATGCGGCCTGTCAAGTGACCGCAGCCCCCACCACCGCCACCACTAACATCTGCAAAGCGGGCAAGAACCGACACGGTGAGACGATGTCATTTGCTCTCACCACACGTGTTCCAGCACGCCAGCGGCATGAACACTTCATCGTAACCCCTAGAATGCTGATGCAGTTGTGACCACTCGTGTTAAAAGCCGCCGCCGCCGACTCGGTAACCGAGTGCCAGTTCGCCATTGTTTGAGGTCTTTATTGAAATGTCTCCGCCTAATCTGCACGTATCAGATTCCTTTTAAGCACTTTAATCTGCGCTCCCATAACCCCTGGTCTGACCGTTTGTGGATGGATTCCCACAACGTGTACCTCTTCATGAGCTATTTGGAGCTACAACCTTAAACGACCACTGGGATGAAGGAAAGGGTGTATATCCGTCTGTGTATAACGCATTTGCCAACGTCTTTCACCATCACCAAATGCCGAAATTAGGCTAGGATTTTAAAACATGCTGCGGATAGAGGGGTGAGTGATTATCTTCTTTCTATAAGGTTTATTTAAATATTTAATTGAAATGGCCATACTGAGGGATAAGAAGTTGAGAATATGCCTTTCATACGGCTGTCGTCGGAACGATTGTAGGGTGAATTTGTCTCATTTGCAGGCCACAATAATTCCTGATTTTACTGGAAACCGATGAACAGTAGTTTGGACTTGGTGCTTTGTGAAAATAATTAGCAGCATACTACAATTTAAAGTGACACCTATACCGACAAAGCGGGCGAGCAATCAGAATTCTCCTCCTTGCCAAATGAAAATTGTCTAAGTAAAGTGTCTGTGTTTGAGTACCTGATCAGTTAGAAGGTCCAGGATCACCTGGAATGTAGTAATTATTTCCTTAAAAAATGAAAGAATACATTTCCGAAGAACTGCTGGTAACTAGACCAGCATTTTATGCTGGAATTTGCCTCCATGAGAGCAAGACTGATTTCGCATACCTTCTGTAGGCGAGGACCGAAGAAATTTGTTTCTGTGATTAGTTATATTGGATCGACCCATGAGCACGATCAATCCTCGGATTTTGTGTGTCTGAATAGCCACGAACAAGATCGTCAGGTCTCCAGAGAAAAGGACGGAGGAGAAGCGTGTATACAATGCGTACCGCAACCGGTATGGAAGACTTAGATAAACAGCAGCTGACGGACGGTTATAGCTTGTGGTGTGCCACTACAGCCCTCTTTTGTACCTGCCTTCTTCATGGTAGGACTCGAGTGTTCTGCAAGATGCAGTCCTTGAAGGATACACTTCCCATGTGACCTATTTCAATTTCGACTACAAAAGGAAAATAAAGACGCGCGATGAGGTCTAGACAGGACGGAGAGTCATTCTTTTCTCCCAAGACCTTATACTAAGCCAAAGGACGATAATTGAGACTCATTTTGTATGGATGCAGTTCCTACTTATTTGAAATACTTTTGCATACACGAGTGCTCTCGTAGATAAATGACAAAGGTACCAAGTAAAATACATTTGCCGATTTCAAAAGTTACATTCTCCAGCATTTCCGAATGTAACTATGCATGAACTGTGATGTAACTATGAATGTGAACTATGAACCATGAATGTAACTATGATTTGTCCAAACTCTGATTGACAAGTTAACAGGTACGACCCTCTGAAAGTCCACCTTAAGAAAATATAAGCAAGGGGTTTGAAATTAGAGAAGTTTTCGTATTCGTGTTGGAAACGACTCCGTTACCAATAACAAAAACTAAGCTCTCGCGTGAACGATGCTAAAATCTAAACTACCAAGCGAAAACAGAGGAAAGAAATTCAAATTCTGCTGAGCAGAATGTCTCAGATTTGTCAGTTACACCGGTGTGTGGAGCAAAAGGCAGACTTTGCCGAAAATATGGTCATTTTAACATAACCCAACTGCCGAAAAGCATGATTTTGTGTTAATTGGATCTGTGAATATACGAAGGAAATTATTAAACAGTAGCATTTCGAATCGCTTAAAAATTGCAGATTATCGTCTGATGACAGCAGTTAAAGTGTACATAAGTTAAGCGTTTAATTATGATAGCCATTAAATAAAATCCAGTGTAGGTTATTCAAGGAATTCTCGCTTTCTAGGGATCAAAGCAGGTACCATCGATTCGTCTCAAGCGATGTCTAAAACAAGATACACCGATATACAAACTCTTGATCTTCTGCAAAGTTAATTTGCAATGCGAAATCAGAAATGTCCTGCGGAATATTTGCATCCAGTAGAACATTCAGTACTTCCACAGGGAGTAGTAGTTAAACAGTGTGGAGGCAGACCTGATCGATAAATTCTTTCATGAAATCATTGGTTGGACGGTTGTACAACACCCGAGTCCAGGTATGAAGAAGACAGGTACATCAAGACGGGTTTTAGTGATATACCACATGCTACAACCGTCCGTCAGCCACCATCTATCCAAGTCCATCATTCTGGCTGCGATGCGCATTACATATTACATACTTCTCATCCATCCTTATCCCTGGTTGGCTGATGATCATGCTCGTGGGCCATTCAAACATACAAATACAGGCTATTGGTTGAGCTTGAGGCGTGATTCGAAATGGCTGCACCATATGCCTGTAGTTCACGTTTATTGGTTAGAACGTAAACGATAAACTCACCTTGTTAGGGGGATCAAGGTACTTTTCCGAATCCCCCTAATCAGCGGGTCGATCCAAAATGCTGACCTCTATTACTTTTCCTTTGAAACACGGGACCGCGAATAAGATTCCAGCGTAAGTGTAGGCAAACTTGCTCAAGATGTAATTGCTTGCATATTGCTGGGCGGAATTCATTAGGCTTTCCTTGATGGAACTGTAGAATTGTCCACTATGATTGACCGAAGTGAATACATCTTTGCTAGTTTGACCATTATTAGTCTGAAAAAGGATGACTGACTTGACTTGTTTTAATGATTCTAGCAATTCATTCTCATTTATTGCGATTAAAAGTAATGTTTTTTTTAAATTTTTAGACCTACAATAATGCATATCGAATAACGGAGCTTGCAACACACTGAGCAAACTTGGACAAGACGAAACGCTCTTAGATGGACACAACTAGGGAACCTTTAATCTTATAAAGTGAAGAAAAAAGATGAACTGATAAAGAAAAGCAAAATCATAATACCAAATTAGTTCAGCAAAAACACAAATGGGATCCTAATAGTCATTCCGTGACTTGGATAGATCATCGCGGTAATGGTAATCGGTATATGTCTTGTTTAAATAATGCATGCATCAACATAGTTTCAAAGCATATATTGTTATATGCCATTTCCATAGACAAATCTGAATATTATTTGAGAATAAGAAAGGAAAATCATTTGTATCATTACCGCCTATCAAAGCCGTGTGCTTATGCGTAAATATAAGCCACGTCTTTACTTTATCGGGCTTGGAATACGGAGTCCAAAATATTCCACCAAGACCATCACGAAATGAGCTGTGAAAGGTTATTTAAAAGGTCGTCGTATCAAAACGACCAAAGAAGGGACTGTGGATCTGATTTAAAAGATTTCTCAAACAAGATAAACCCAAATGCAAATTACCGGTCTCCGATAATGTTAACGAACAATGCGTAATCAGAAATTTCTGGTGCAAATTTCTCACGAAGTAGAAAATTCAGTTGGGATATGGGAGTTGTCTGGAATACTCTGAAAGAAATGCGTACTAAATTGAATGTAGGGGCTCAATTTGTACCCTGGTTGAAGCAGAAGACTGCGAAATAAATTTCGAAATAACCCATTAAGACCTCCAGATGCTTGTCAAACCATAATAAAAAAATAAACAGCTTATTCTGCATCAAAATCAAATGGAAGGAACAAAGTGATTTAATATAGTCAAATTATGAAAGTCATTGTTTGCAAATAACTAACTTTCTCCGCAATTCCATAAAACGATTACACCAAAATGGAAGTTACTCTACAGTTTTAGTTAATTTGGATAGAAACAGCAATAATCTAAACCATCACAAACCTTACACTACCCAGGATGTTAAAAATTAGCCATATAAGTTGTGACAAGTACAAACAACTTATTCGACAAAGTGTTTATAGCGGTACCAAAAACAAAGTCACGTGATTACAGCACGTATTCCATTTGATATTTTACTGGTTCCTGTTAAGTAAAAACCCATGTCAATGAAGTCCAATTAAACTTAGTTGCCTAACATTCGGAATGTTGTGCTTCCTCAAATCAGCAATTACAATGGCGCTGTTGCAAACCTGAAATTTGTTTTAATGGATTCTTTTCATTTCTATGTAGGTTAATGCAACTGTGATTGGCTGTCACTTGTATGAATCCGTGGTGAGTTTCAAGCATTTCTAATCCGCCTCAATGGGATTTTCTTGAATGTACATTGTGGTCTAGTTCGTTCGTAAAACGCAATGGCTGTTCAGTCAATACCATCTTTTGGTATGAAGATGCACTTTTTCACTATTTCTTTCAGAATCAGTTGACGAAGCGTTTGATTTCGTATACGAAATATTTCGATCATTTTCTTTTACTCCCGCAATGCGCCCCGTAGTCATGCGAAATCAGTTATACGCTCTGGTAGGAAACAGATCACTTGTAGATACGGAACTGGTATGCCACATATTCTTAAAGTCATGTTTAGCAATCATCTAGCAAATATCAACTACTGAATTTATTTGATGACGAATTCTCAATAGCCATCGTTCGTGAAGATGATTTTGTGAAATGTTTTGAATCAGTTTGTTCTAATTCAGAGAACACAGAGCTTATAGGTAAATTGAGTTTGGCTGCTTGTTTATACGTGTAATTCCAGACCGTTTTATCACTTACTTGCGGGCCACTCATCCGTATTTACACGTCGAAGGGCTTTCAATACGCGCGAGCTTCTCCGATAAGGAAATAAGGTTTGAGATTAACCACTTTTAAGTTTTATTGGTACAGTGCTCTTATTCACCTAGGTGCTCTACTCATCAAATCATCCGACTCGTGGTGGATTGGCTTTCCCCAACTTGGACGTTTTCGAACCGCCTACAGGTCATGTCTCCAAGAGTTCAAAGGTTCCTTGAGACGTGCACGATTCCAGGAATTACTTCTCTGCGTGAGTTTTCGTGCATTATTCTTGTTTATCTATTCAGTAATGGTCAGTGTATAAAATTTCGTTTGAAAAGGTTAAGGAAATGACTTAATTGCATTGGCGTCGGCGGATTGGTGGATTCTTGGGGGATCGGCACCCAGCGTATCTAATGACTACAACCATAGAAGCCTCAGCCTTTAGTTGCCGAAGTAAAATAAGAATATTTCCATCCCATGCGTCTATCGATTAAAGAATACCTGTTTTGTGAAAAAGATTAAACAGATCATCTAACACGTTTTTACGCACTTGGCACTTTGTAAAATGCAGCTTTATGTGCCAGTCACTGCAACTTTCTAAGATAGTCGTGTCTATCACGCGTATTAGTTTTTAAATCCTTCTGACACTAGTAAGATAGTCTGGCGAAAAAATCGACCGATCGGAAGCGATGCAGATGCTCATCAAACGTAACGCCATGACACTAATGTCATCATTAACTAGGACCCACGATGCAAAGGTCTCCATTTATGAAACTTCACACTGTAATAATGATTTCCAGTCAGGCAACAAAGTAACCAAGATGTCCGAGCTTTCTCTGGTTCTCATTCGCAGTCTTGCTGTAAAAACTAACTCGTTTAGATCTATTCCGTTCCTACACACAACTTAGCCTTCCTGTAATGCGCCCAAATTATGCAAAGTTGTTAGCCTGCCGTTCTAAGAAAGATCGCTTTACAATCTGTTTTAAGCACTAAAAGTGAGTGCTTAGAAGTTTACTTTCATATGCGCAACTTTTGTGTGTTCGCCTTTTGAATAGGATTTATTGCGAAGGAAATGGCGTCAAAAGGCAAACCTCGGACCTTTGTATTTTGTGATTGACCAAATCGGCGCCGGAACCATCACATGGTAAGCAGTAGCATTTAGGAATACCTATTTATTTTTCCTTTTTTCGTCTGAACCCACTTCTTGATGTCTCAGTCCTTGCTAAATATTCATTTTAGTATTAGCGAAACCCTAATTCCCATAACGGGTTCTGGTTCAACAAATCACGATTAATTCCAATATGGCTTCTTGATGTCCTCATTGCCAGGGCTAGCTGGGATCCGGTAGCTGATCCTGTCCTTGCCTCAATTTGTGACTCTCGTTGCCTTTTAATCCTGATTGGTCACAAGTGCATAACTGTAATATCGCTGACGTAGAAGCTGAGGTCGTTCGACGTGCGTGAGGGGAGTGCCTGTCCTCACCCTTTTTCCAGGTGGTATTGGCGATGACGGGGTTCGCTTGAAAGGCCATGTGCTGGTTGATGGAAGTGGGTAATGAGCGCTAGGCTTTGTTGGCCAGCCATTGACATGATCTTATCGTCTATTCACCAAGACATGTTTGTGCATAGTAGTATCCACACACTGGGTCTTGGTTGAAGAATTGCAAAGGCTATAGATTGGAGGTAAGTGGCGTACATGACCCGTAGTTCCCGAATGACTCGTTGCTTCTTGTCCTAACCTACCGTTTGCTTCAACTTAATGATGCCAGTCTTATTATTTCGTTTCAGCCACGAAACCTCGTCGGGCCAGCTTATTCGTTTGGAGTCGGCAACTTAGGAGGCATTATGCTGCATATTGCTTGTTTTACTTTCTAACCTGACTAATTTGTACTTTGCTTACGTTTATTGCTAGCAGTTTTTGTGCGTTTGATGAATTACACGTTTTCTCCAACTTCTTGCTTCCCTTCGCTTTTGTTCGTTAGTTTAATTTGTTGCAAGAGTTGGTTACTGTCGCTTGTTGTTAGGCCAGACTGGAAGAATGGCAAATCTAACGTGGTTATAGTTGGGCGAGTATAATCGTGTCTTAACAGCAAACAGGTTGCGTTGGGTAGAGCAACAGGAAAGCCAACGTTAGTAGTGGTTGTTTTAGTAAAAGGGATGATCGAAGCACTCCGTAGACGCAAAATTGGCCTTCAGAAACAGCACAAGTACCGCGTTTGGATGTCGCAGTGCCGCTAGAAATTCATCCATGTAGTGGTAATACATTGACCGTTAACAATCAGTGAGCAATAAAGTTGTCCTAATTTCCACCAGTTCAAGTGATTTTCTCATCTTTAAGCGGACGAGAGTTTTTTCGCGTCTGCGCATTTGTTGATCCATCGCGTCGTGGACCCAACATGACCGCGATACTTTTAAGGTTTCTAGTGCCCTCCTGGTGGGCATTGGTATGTGCACTCCTCATAGCCACATCTTCATCACCCAAGTCCAATAATTCCAAACTCCGTTGGACAGTCATTACCAGCTAATCGAGCATTGAATTCATCCAAACAATTTGGTTTTCGTGCTCTAAACCACTGCTGATTTGATTTTGACAACCAATGTCTCGAATCAATAGAATTGATCTCTTTCGAACGTAACCTCAATCGGCGTTCCCGCCTATTGTGTCCGACGGTAGAGAATCAGTCAACTAAAACATTTGGCGTATATTCTACAGGCAAATTACTAATGGAAGAGCGGTCAACCAGTCGATACCCTTGGCAAATTAGGCGAGTCGAACCGATGGCTAGTCTGAATCCGATGGGACAGGTTAGTCAACTCCAATCGGAACCCGAAGACTCTGGAGACGTCGATAAGTCGGCGGTGAACACACAAGATGAGCGAGGTAGTGAAGGTGAAACGCCTCAACTGTCACCTGAAAAGACAACAGACACATCGAATGAAGACCTTGAGGAAATTGAACGCTCACTGGCTGAAATGCAGCGTGTAAGTTTTCACTCACCTCCACGACTAATTGCGCGAGCCCTGTTTTTTCATGAAAAAGGTATAACGGAACAACCAAAAATGATAATTTCGAAATTCCTCAAAATTATCTTCCCAGATTAATGGCAAAATCGCCAAGTAGGCAAACTGACACCCACGATCACCTATTAATAATGCCTTTTTTGTTCCGAGTACGTTGAGGAATTGCAATTTGAGGTTCTCAAGCATCGCCAGGAGGAGGAGGCAAAGCGATTGCAGGAGACGCAGCCTCCACTTCCGATCAATGAATTTATAGAGGGTAAGCCGGAGGACAACCTTTCAATACACTAGTTCACTGTGCCAGTTTTAAACGTTTGATTGACCCTTGACATTTGAACAGGCTAGAGGGTAGCAACTTCCCAGCAAGTAATCGATAAGCAGGTTTGAAAATATAGGTGGACACTTCCTGCATGCCTTGTGCTGTGCGTACAGGTCATATTCGTGTGTGGTACATCGGTGCACTCGGGAGAAATCATTTTCTGGGCTCCTGTGCTGCCAATTGACACTAATTTGAAACAAAATCGAATGGTAGGCCTTTTTAATTTGAAAGTTCCACTTGACCAGAGGTCATGAGAACAAACCAAAACTACTCCATTGAGCACACTACGGCATAACTGCGCCGAGTTTGCACTGGTAGATCTCTACAGCACTTTTCACCGTTCAAAAGAACCACAGAGGTACATCAGACACCAAGGTATCCCTGGCGGCTGCGATTACAGCTCAAATCCAGACTGGAGTTCGCCTTGACCTCTCTTAAAGGCCACAAGCCGCTCATTGGTCCAGCGCATTTAAAAGTTACTTCATTTGGACTATCCCGGGTAGGCCTCGATGGAATTGTTGTGGGCCCCAGTATGTGGTCTTGAACCACGCCGGGGCCACGGAGTTAACCCTGGCCCGATTAAGCTTGCCTAATACCCGCGATGAAGGAAAAGGCCGGAGAGGACGAACACAAACGTTTACTTCAGAGATCAACCACGTTGGTGTCGTTGTGTCGCGTGTGGTGTTTGCGCGTGTGTATTTATAGCTCGGATGTGTGAGTCATACATGCGCTAACATCGAGACCTAGGTGTGGGGACACTCCAAGATAAACATTCGGGCTAATGAATGGGGAGTTGGGGAATCGAGGGGCTGGCGACATGCTGAGAAAAGGGGAACCCTGTGTAGGAGGTGGAGCGACCGGATTAGGATTCACGACAGAACAGGGATTGCTTCCACTTTAAAGCAGTTTTCAATACCGGACAAGTCTCACTTTGTTCCAGAGTTTGCTTAGCTGTAATCTTCTCGTAAATAGACAACAAACTGTCGAATAAAGCTTTTCGCTACTTGTGTACGCACAAACAACCAAAGTTCTGATGAGCAATTAATGACTGGCCGCTGCAACTAACAAATCTATGCGAATGCACGGAATGCGGCTTTCGCAATTGGCGTCGTTTTTCCCCACTAACTGATGCTTTCAAATTGTTTTTTTTGTGTCGCTGTACTGTCGAAAGACTTCGAGAAAATCTCGGCTACCCTGGAGGCCCACAAAACCGACTACTCGTATGTAGCTGAGACCCTGGTTGAGAATATGAAACTACGCGAGGAAGTTATGCGACTCACTGACGAGGCACAGGCTCTCCGAAGCGAGCTCGATCAGGTGAAACAAAGCCACATTGACCAGTTGGATGCTGTCAATTCAGCCAACAAAGATAAGTGTATGTTGTTTGTGTTCTTGCAGTTGCAGAGTGCTTTAGGCCATTAACCAGTCTACATGAATGATTTAAACAGGCGAAGTCACGTTCTGCCGGGACACGTGTTCAGTCCTTTTTCTGAAAGTGCCTCCTTGTCTTTGTTGTAGTGACTGCGCTGTGCAGGGAGTACGAGGAAAAGTGTACGTCCCCGGATGTCTTGCTTGTCAGTTTGAGTACAAACAGCGCAGGTGCATTCATCTTTTAAGAGTTGTTTTTTTTAGTAACCTATCAGTCAAATCAGTTCACAGAGCTGATGGACAAGGAGAAGGCCAATTTCGCAGCTCAAAGAGACGCATGGAATGAGGAAAAGGCAAACGTATGTTGTACTGTTTTTATGACTTAACAATGTCACATACTATTGCGGTCGTTAAACGACCCCACCCACAGTACACCTCACACCGGCAGGTCCTTTAGGCTGCTCGTGTTTTCTACAAACAATGCATTCTTGATCCGGCCAAATGAGTCCATCTGGTAGGACACACAGTAGAATTGGGCCAACGTGGCGAAACTATCCGTCAAGGTGTCTTGTGTCACCTTATTTTGAACCCTGACATTTGGGAAAAAAAATATTCCTCCAAGTTTATAAATTGAGAATATCCTGGCATAGTGAGAGCACGCACATATTATATGGCATTTGGTTTAAATTGCAGCTGCTCTTAGACCACGCCAACGAACTGGCCTCCGCGATGCGAGAGAAGGACCAACAACTCGCCGCAGAAACTGAGCCCAATTTCCGTACTGAGATTCTACGACAGGTGATTACTATTGGGCAACCGAATTTTGACTCTCAGAGCTATTTCAAATGGCGCCTTTTGTGCTTGCTTTCTCACAGAGTTGGGGAGATGCCTGTTCACCTGTCTCCTGATTGGTTGTCCGCGTTCGGGATTTGGTTTAGGTGCATCGCGATCAACTGCAGTGGACGTGATGCCGTCAATTTGAGTTAGGAGACACCACGTTGCTAGTCGGAGTCCCTTACACATCAAATCCCTTCACTAAGTCTTAGTGACCAAGCCTGCTGCCAACGCCCCTTACGCATTGACTGTATTTAGCATACTTCTCAGCTGCCTTCGTGTTGCAACATAAAATAGCAGTCTGTAATACTAAGCACTTAGTCTGAAAGGTGGGTACAACACTATTCAACAGTTCCTTACCTGTGATGGTGATTGATCATGTATTTTTTTTTTGGGGAGGGGTGGATTTCACTTGTCTACCTCTTTGTTTACATTACTTAACCTAAATCTACGCATGGGATATTCAGGGAAGTTACTGGCCATATCGAGTAAAACACTAAGATGTTTCCTTAGAGGCCCATATTGTTATTCTGAGTGCCTTCAGCTGCCATGGAAACAGTTGGATCAAATAACTGCCTGCAACCCCTCTGGACATGTCATTGTTTTCCTCGTCTATATGAAGTCGATTTTGAGCACATTGTCTGCTCTTGAGCCTAGATTAGCGAGGTGCAGAACCAGGCTCAAGCGCAAGTCACCCAACTGCAGTGGAGAATTGACCAGATCATGAACGGTTCCGCAGTGGCTGGACGCAACTCAAATCGGACTCCAAGGCAGTCGAGGGAAGCGGCAATCAGGGTGCAGACGCCCTTGCCTCAACCAAAATGGGACCAGTCAGACGCATCTGCGCTTCAGCAGCAAGCCGTGGCACCATCGAGGGTTTCCAAAAAGGTAAAGGAATTGCCGCTGTGTTCAAATGTTTACTTCTTTTAGGTTTTTGCAGACCCCAGCATGCCATCTTGAATCACACCTTGATCTGCTGGTCCGATTACTCGCGAAAATAGAAAGGGACTGCGGGACAACCGTTATTTAGATGTCTCAACCAAATTGTGTTGTCTTGTGCGCGTATTCAAGGTAGTGCATGACGGGTGAATCTGTTGACCTATGCAGCTTGGGTGCAAATGACTGAGTGCCCAGATGGGTGAAGGGGATAGCGGGGGACGTTACTACACGGGGGCGCGTGACCTGACGGTCCCGCGTGGCTGTCGGGCCCGCTGTGAAAGGGGAGGGGGCAGTGTGTCGACGTGAATCAACACGATTCACTACAAGAGCATCCTATTCAATCAGGTTTCCCCTAAGTAAGTAAAGTAAAACCCTTATCCACTTTAAAAATCTGAAATACAAACTGCCTTTTCTCCTTAAAGTGTTGTTGAATGTGCGGTAGGATCAAGGAATCCAAAAACTTGGTCATTGATGCAAAACCATGGAGGAAATTAGGACCAGCAGAGCTCTCTCGGTTGATATTTATCAGTTTTTGATGCCCATAGATGCCTTCTGCTGTGAGTCATCCAACCAACAGTCCATTCACGCGCATCCAGCCACAAGCACCAGACAACGTCTCGACCTCGGTCGCTTGTGCCAGTCCCTGTCAAAAACGCCTTTCCAACGAGACACCTCAGTTGCAGTCTCGGAAGTCACTAAAAGTGGCAGCAGTTCCTCCCGTTCTCGTGGTATCTGGAGGTCACCATCCACTTCTCAGTGGTTCTGCGAATTCCACTGAGGAGGGCAGCAGGACCGTTGAGCTACCGAATTCAGTTTGGGGAAAAGCGAGTGATTTGCTGGAGCAGCCAGCTCAGTGCAAAAATGGAGTCGATCAACCAATAGAGAAGGCGCAGGATGCCACTGTTGACGCGAATCCCTTCTTTCAACTGGTAGGAAGCAGATTTGTTGCTTTTCTCATCAAGGCGTTGTTTGACAGTTGTAATCAGAGGTCGAAATATCTGAAGACTCTTTTGAAAAAAAAACAAAACGCACCATGGTGATTTATCGGGGTCAACTTGTTTGGTATTTTCAGCCAACGGCCAACATGACTAAAATTGACTTCATGCCAGCTAACAACTGGTTCGCCCACACCAACAATGAGGACGAGTTCGGGGCAGAGGAAGGAGAAAGCCAATTCTCCGACTGTACTCAGACTATTCCATCGTACCTACAGCAGCAGCAGCAGCAACACCAGCAGCTTCTGCAATCTGGTCCCAGGAAGCGTCTTCTCTTTGCAGTTCACTCCGGAAGTAATTAAATCCAATATGGCCTCTTTTTAATTAACTGTCTGGTATTTGTTATATGATCGCGCAACTTTGCATAACCTCCCTGTTCACGTCACGATTTCTACTGAACCCTTTTTTTGCGGAATTCGTCCTCCATTTGTAAGGTACTGTTGTGTCCATACTTTGAGAATTTTTGGCTTACGTTGGCTATGTTAGGTTGTTTTTTAATACAAAAGCCTAAAACCGACGTGGCCTCCTTAAATGCTCGCGTTTTTTATTTCTCTCTTAGTCATCTAAAAGCGTAGATCACGATGCAAAAGCTCGCAGCATCCAAAGGACTCCGATTATTCACGTGATCCATGGAATTTTGTGTACAAATTTGAGCAAATTAGACACACTTCCAAATTCTTTGTTAACTAGTAAATCACGAAACACCACTTCTCATTACATTTTGTGTACCTAGGCATATTGGCATATCAATGTGCTGTTTTGTTATCCAGGAGTGAATAATGTCTGTTGACTTTTGAGTAGTTCAAACAAACTTTCTAACCAAAGCCTCGTGAACAAGATAATTTTAATTATTTAAGCTAAATTCAAGCTCGTGACTTCCCTACAAAGTTTACGATTGAGCATATACAATTGACATGCACCAAGCGAATGGGGACCTAAATAGGTAGATACCTGTTAGCCCGTCTCTCTTGGATAGCCCCACCATCATGGTTAGCCACCATGCACACGACAGAAGGATAACTGGAAGAACTGGGTGTATTCCATACTACCGCATACAAATTCAGAGGGCTAGGGCTTAGGGAGAGTTAAAGGGGAGAAAAAGATGGCCGTGAATAGTATTCGATGTCTTTGAGTGTGGCGTGCGTGACACAATATTATTTCATAGATTCCGCAATTTAGGATCATCTACCTTAAAATGGTCGCTTTATTGTAAGATGTTTTTGACATAGGTTTCACATTGGATCATTTAGTGAGTAGCCGGACATCTTACTCCCTACCATGCAAAATCATGTATTCATTTCATTTTTATGGAAAGAGAGACATCCATAGATCATGGAACACACATTAAAAGCCAAATGTTTTAAAGTTAATATATGTCACCACACGCCTTTTATTTCCTGGGATACAATCTTGTACATACGAACTCTGAAAATCTGCTGTGGGTCTCGAGGTCGTGACCAATAAAAGGGGGATACGAAAATTAATGCTTTCGGGTAGAAATCTTGCAAAATTGCAAAAATGCGACAGTGGGAATGGTTACTGCACATGATAACTGGGAGATTCCACATTCACTAAGCTGTTATCAGAGTCAACATTCCAGAGCGCAACATTCTCTAACGACAGAACGACAACTTTCTTTGACAATTACGGGAGCATAAAAAGAAAAATTATTGTCTACTTGGTTTCTGTCAAAAGGGATTTTAAACACTATAAAAGAAAGAAGGTGTCAATGATGTCTTTGCTTTCGATAAATAACTAAGGTCAGAGGTTGTGCATTGTTCAGGGTACATTCGTTTTCAAAACACAACTTTAATAGCCAAAAATTCGAGTTGATAACCATCGGGAACTAAAGCGTATCACATTTTAACTAACATGGTCACTAAATGGATATTCGTTAATTTCCAACTGCATTGGGTTCTACGGGAAGAATAATTGAGCCCATATCTGAAGCATGCAAGTATGACATGGCGTACGCAGCGTCGTCGTCGTTGAGTTGCCAATGCCTCTTCAGACGCAGTAGTCCTAATCCCGGGCAATGTCTATGGATCCATTTTTTTTGGACATCGGATGAACGCCATGACAAATTCAGCTGGCATTTACGGGTCTTTGCCTGTGTTGACCAAAGATGAGAAAGGGCTGGGGTTCGATTTGCGTTATTCGAACGCATCCGCTGCCACCAGTGTAGAATACCCGAGCCCTAATA